TAGATATTCGGAAGATACTTTCATCTTGCATAGAAATAAGATGGACACTGAAGTTCTTGTCAAAGTGTTCGGTATGGCGGATCCATACAGATGTATATATATATATATATATACTTTTAAAAGGAGACGCAGCCACTGAGTTACTGGGATCGAATCTCTGGAAGAAATAGCTAAAACAATCTTTGCCACAGCACTATGTTTCAAATTCATCACTCGTTGCGTAATTTTAATGCCAGTGGAAGATAAGCTAGCCAGTCTGGCCACTTCAATGTACATTTATAAATTTGACTTTTTGTATAGAGACATTTACATGGGCAAAACGGCTCGACAAGCCCAATGTCACCTTCTAGAGCATTGTTCAACATGATTAGATTTATTTTTTCATTTTTATTGTAGCTTGATTCCACACAGTATTTTGGTACAAGTATGAAATTTTCAGCATGTGATATCGGTAGCCCAAATTTTGCAGGCCGACCATAGATATCAGGTGTGCGTCGGCAGGGGATCGAACCTCGGACCATGTGCAAGGTCGGCGAGAGTCCTAAGCGCTATGCCACCAACGACGGGTAGTAAAGTGAATCAAGAGTCCCATATTGATACACCTTATGCATACGGCTTGCAAGATTGATAAAAATTCAGCCTCTACTATTCCATACATGGTGTAACTTCAATTCCCGAGATTTGTACTCCTTCAATTGCAAAGCAAAGATGGGTCAGTCGTCGTAATTAAGTTTCAACTCAGTCTCTGTGTTCAGGAAACGTTTGTTCAGCTCCCCTGTCTCCCATGGCTTTCACGCATAACTTAGAATAGTTACCTTTCCTCATAACACTTGATAACTGTAAACATTATTTTTACTCATATTGCTAACTTTGTTGTCTATATCTGTACTGTGCTATTGTTGCATATTTTAATCTTAGTTTCACAATTAATTATTATTATATTATCTAGTCATATGTGAAAGTGTTTGTTCTTCCACTCCTACTAGTGTACACATTATTTTTACACACTCATGACTACCCAGATTATGTAGACACTTTGGTGAATTAATCCTTGTTATCAGTATTGTGATCACCACGATTGTTAGACAGCAACTCACACCCCTGAACTTTGATTCTATTTCAATTAATCAGTCCATAATCTTTCAAATATGCATCATTAATATTTTAAACTGACACTGTTAGGCCTGATGACAATTTACCGAAAATACGTATTTGCTTAGAGTGTGTTCTATCGTTATCATAATGGGAATGTTTAAATTCTAGTTTCCAAATATGCTATTCATCTAACTGCTTGTTTCTAAACATCTTGTTTTAGAAATTTTCAACTTCTCATTTACGCATTTAGAAAAGACAATAGATTGAGTGAAGAAATATGTTCCCTCTCATTTAGTTCCTCATCATCGGCTGGCTCTACACTAATATATAGTTTTCTTACATGAAAATGTTTTTTACCAATCAAGTGGCTATTTTATTTAATCAGGTCTAGGCATAAAACGAGGGTGAAATTAAGAGGTTAAAAGTCATCAAAACAATCAGCTAATAGAGGTTGGCAACAGAATATCTAAGTTTTGAAGGAGGGATGGAGATTTATAAATTACGCAATTCAAGATAAGTTAATTCATAGGCATTTGTAACAAGTTATTACACAGTCAAGAAATTTGTAAGATGGCAATGATAACTAAGAAGAATAGGAGGACTCAGTGGGATTACGTAAAATGCAAACAAGTTAATGGAATTATCTAGAATTGTAAAAACTAACAAAGTCAAGGGATAGTTACAAGGGGAGGGAAAAGTCGTTCTCAAAACTTAGACCATATTATGTAGTCAGCCATGGCAAAGAAAAGGACTGTACAAACTTCTCTTGAACACACAGATTTGGCTTGTTCAGATGAATTCCTATTGCCTCTGCTGTATGTAAATGTCGTACTCGTAGACCATGCGAGAGGTTGAGTGAAATACGATAAACAACTGTAAAAGCTTTGCTAGAGTCGACTTGATGTCCAGTCAGTATCGACGAGATAAGCTGGTACTTAGTTGCGTGTAGCTATATTTGGACCTGTGAAAGCCAGAATGGTAGGTGTTCAGAAATTCGACGATGAACTTGCCTGATTGTAAGCCCGATGTAACTAGTTCCGCACGAGCAGTTAAACTAGTGCATATACATGGAGGAGGCGAAACAGGGCAGTTTGTCTTTTTTTCTTGAACTAAGTATTAGTTGGCTAGTGAATAGAGAGCATAACGTAGCTGAGTTGGAAGTGTTTTGAATGCCCTTCTCAGACGTTGCGATAAGATCTCGCTATTGATATCACTCGTGAATTGTAATCTTAGGAAGACTGATTTTCTGGAAACAGTGGGCACCTGCGACATTTTACTTTCTGAGTTCACGTGTTTTTCACGAATTTAGTAGAATGTCCATGTCTACTTGGTAGACCACCAATATTATCGAGTTTTCCGTTCATCGTCTCATTTGAACAGATAACTCTAGCCCGTTGAACGAGACACCTAACCAGATTACGGTTGTATTGTAGAAGTAGGAAGCTGAGGAAGTGAGTATATTGTGCAGTGGAAGTAGGTTTCCGATGCAGACGTCTACATATTGTCCCGTCTGTTCGCTTGGCCAGTAGGACGTCGGAAAACAAGATAGAGTCATTTTCGTCCTCTTTTCTTTAGTGAAGGTTATGTTAGGATGTGCTTTATTGAATTTATACAATATGTCCTTAGTGTCACTTTCTTTCTTCACAACTGTAAATGTATCATAAACATATCGGCGTCATAAATCACGATAATATATTACATTTTTGGGGGGATCATTCTTTTGTGTAGCCACGAAAAATCCACTATGATTGGCCCTATTCCTGATCTTATTGCAGCACTATCTGCTCGTTTATACATTTTTATTTATTGAAAGAAATGTTTGCGTTCATTTCACACATTAGTGTTTGTTCGTTTAGGGAAGACGTAGGAATTACCGTCTCTATGCCTTGTTCTATCAATTTATTGCTTATGTAATCAACTGTTCCCAGGAATGGCACATTGGCGAGTGATGAAGATACGTGCAGAGACGTCAGGTATATACCATTGACATTTCATTTCTTGTTTCTTTCAAATTTATCCTTTACGCTATTATGCGACGGCTGTAAAATTTGCAGGAGCCATTTCGCAGTTGATCGCTTTGATTATCTAGACTTGTCGAGGACCGGTCTAAGAGACAAGCTGTTTTTGTGAATCTTTGGTATGCCGTATAACCTGTGTGCCACCGTGCGGACAAGTCTTTATATATGGCTGGTGAAATATGGCCTTGCGGTCTCATTTTCTTGAATTAATATCTATATATTAATTTGGAGCTTATGCTGATGAACTAATTGAAAGAGAATATATATCTTTGCTCAGTATTTTTCCTTTCTTGTTTCAGTCACGTATGAAAAACTGCCTTTGATAATTGGTTCAGGATTTTCGGTTTTAGATGTTCTACATTTTCACTTACTGCCTAGAGTCCTTTCCTAATTGTAGAACTTTTGGTTTGACATATATATATATATATGGCACGTTTACCATTTACATTTTCAGGCGTTCATTTTATGAATACTGATGTTCCCTATCTTCAGATTTATTAATTCATTCATGTGAACTTATAGTGCATTTTTTCATTTGTATTCCGTCAATGTGAATCAACCGGATAAAATGATAGCATATTATTCTTTTGAGTATATTGTTCTTGTTTAATTCAGAATAGACTCAAACAGACAACTAATCACTAGAAATATTGACAGATGGCAGATCGTGCTTTCCAATCACTGGATCTTTCAGAATAAATAATTTTATGTCTTTTACGCCTTATGGATTTCATGCAAACTAGTTTGTTTGTTGCAAGAGGGATAACGTTATGCTTATCATTAAAAAATGCATACCGAACAGACTAGGAATTTATCAAATCAACCGGATAACTTCTCTGAGTATCCAAATTACTCAAGCATACTGAATGTTAATCTAGAACTGTCTATTGATTCTATGCGTCGGTGGCACAGCGGTTAGGATTCTCGCCGATCATGCACATGGTCTGGGGTTCGATCCCCTGCCGACGCACACCTGATATCTATGGTAGGCTTACAGAATTTGGGCTACTGATATCACATGCTGAAAATTCCATACCTGTACCAAAAAATGCGGTGTGGAATCAAGCTGTATTAAATTAATGATACAAATATTTATTAGCTGTGAAAAACGAAATTTACTACATAAATAATTTTTTTTTGTTTTTTTACGGCTATAAAATTGTGGTGTATCATTTTGATTGAGTAAGAGTAGAGAATTGTTGACTGAACAGATTAAACATCCAGTTGCATGTGAATACCAAATACCTATTTTTTTCAGCATTTTTTGATACAAAAAGACAAGCTTTTAGTTTAATGCTTGCAGTTCTCCACAGACATATTGGCTGTATTATAAGTGTTCTTAAGCTATTCGAAAATGTGAGTTAACGAGTCACATACGATTTGCAAGGACTTATTCTAATGCATTTGAACAGCCTACTAGAATGCCTTACACTGTCACTCATTTTCAGGTAAGTTAAAAATATTTAGTGAATAATCTGCCTTAAATATTTTATTATTTCGATGAACATATACAATTCGGTACAATAGATGGAATGAACAGTCAAAAGTGATTACAATATTCCTTGCATATGCCAAGCAATTTTATGGAGAATACTAAACATCCTCCCAGATGCATGTAATTAATTCAGTCTAATTGAAAAGATACAGAAATTTTGAGTTATAATTATACCTACCTTCAGCATTTTCTGGCGATATTACTAACTTCTTGTGGCTGAATGAAGCAGTAAGTAATACCCATCTGTTTTATCCATAGTATGGTAACCATAACAATTTAACAACCTAATGCCCTACATATTATATATATATATATACATGATATTTATATGTTCAAACAGGAGATGTGCACAATGAATTATACGTTGAGAAAATATGTGATGTACACAACATATGGTAGCATATGACACAGGTAATTCTATCGTGCGGTAATTTTATTTTCTGTTATAACTATAATCTGTTTGTCTTATGCAAAATTTCCTTATAGTTTTTAAATTTCCTTGTTGATTGATTTAATTAATGCCTACCAAAAATACCTGAGGCAGGTTGATATAAAAGTCAGCTAAAACATTCTCTCATCTCAAAAGTCTCAATAAACTTTGCGATTATTACATAGCTCTAAAATGTTGTATCAATTTCCTTAAACTATTCACTTAAACCCTAAAAATGGTGACTCACACAGTAGTGCTTAGATACACTTCGGTGTTCTACAGTGTTATTCTGTCGCTTAGTTTCCATTATAATAAGTCAGTTGCAAAATTCACTCCATGGATGTTGGATAATATTGAAGATGAAAGGGATGCACCTCAAAAAATCTTGGTTCAGAGACAACAAAATCTTGATATTGGTGAGTTTTCCGAACAACCGTCATTGTGAATTGTTTTGTTTGACTAGTTTTTCAAATCCTATTGAATTTATAATTTTTCATGAAACATTTAACTCGTACAGTCAGCGATTTCTATAATATCCTAAGGCGATTACTCGTATCTTAAAGTTAGTTTCAGACATGGATAAGGTGAAAGCTTCTTATATCCAGCTTAGAGGTTCTTCAACAGTATGGCACTTAGTGGACACACGACTTCAAAGTTGACAAAGATGGTAGTGATTACAAAATATATATATTATATATATTCTATGGAAATTTCACATAACAAGTGTAAACCTGTCAAACAGGGTTACACATGAATGTTTATAAATATGTATAAAGTAATAATCAGCACTTATCTTAGATTAAAATATTTATTTTTACGAGGTGGGAAGATGGAGACTTAGGATTTAGAAGGGCTCAGTTTCACGAGTAAATTCTCTTTGTATAGGTAGTGCAATATGTATTGTATACTTTTGGTAAATTATTCCAGGTATATGTTGAAAATTTCTCCTTAGTGATCTTAGCCTTCATGAAATGATTGCATCTAGGAAAGAACTGGCTTATGGTCAAAATGCTTATAAAAATACTGGGCATGAAGTCATCTTATTCAGGCTACAGGAAACTATTAAACACTTGCTAATAATTTAATCATTCAAGAAAGGGCCATTGGATCGGGTCTCAATGACTGAATGGCCTACAAGCTTGCCTTGTAATCGAAAGGTCCTGGTTTAGAAAGCTGGTCGCTGAGTACTGCTGAAGAGTCCCAAACTTGCTCGAAGCAGCTCTCCAGTACTCCCTGGCTTTCCAATGAATCTGTAGCTAATGTCAGCTTGTGATCGAACCTGTAACCAATCAAATACTCACAGACAAACACATGATAACCGGGTAAGTGTTTAAAAAATAAAAATGTAGCAGATTCTGAATTTAATAATTATCAGAATCAAACAGTTCATAGAAAAAATAACTTAACAATTTATAGTACTTATATCTTTATTCATATTTATGACTTCCCGTTAATCTAGTTAAATGCTTAAGGCTTCTTAAACAGATGCCTTGTTATTTCCAACTGACGAGTTGCAAGTAAGACGATGCGCGCGTCCCAGATCCTATTGTTAGGCACCACCAATAGCAATGTAAGGATTATTAAATAAAAAGTTAAGATCCAGTTAAATATACAATATTTTTTAGTACTGTATAATGAAATTCAGCCATCGATTTGCCAAGGTAGGTCAAGCAAACGACAGTTAAAATTAAGATTAAGGTAAATCTAATAGCAACAGAATTTACTACTGATGATAATCACTTTTTAATGCAATTAAACATAGAAACCTTATAAAAACTTATATTCTGGTAAATAGTACTGTGAATCTAAAGGTCATGTTTAAAAGACAAAACAAGTATTTCAGTAAAGTGTTTTTTGGCGAACTGCTTATAATTGTGATTGTACTGCTAAAGAATATGCATTCACCGAAAAGCAACGCTTCACTGAAGTACTTGTCTCGTTTTTATTAATAGACAAAACACATAAAATTTAGGAAATACTGAACGTGCTTTTTCCATAAGATAACTAGTTTGGTCGACTAATTCTCTGGCTACAGTAAGAAATTTTAACTTTTGAGAGGAGTAGTGAACCTAGGAATATTGTGTATAAATTAAAAGTCAATCTGAACGAAGAATATTCTTTTCAATAATTTCTCTTCAGGTTCTTACAATTATAAAATATAATATTTGCTGTCGTTACAATAAAGGCCAGTTATGCGGCAGATACATTTTTAACGTAGAATAACAGATTAGTTATGGGGTGTCAAAATAAGTAGTCGTATTTGTGTGACAAAATATTGTAAAACGGGAGACAATGGTGATTAATCATAATAGATTTGTAGAGTGTGGGGTAGGAAAATTGACAAGTCAGTTCAAGGTTATAAAAGGTGTCAGGTGAGTGGCTAGTACAAAGTGGTCTGTGTTAAATAGGAAACAGTAAGACTGCAATGAGAGGTTCATAATGAAATAACGAATATGTGAAATGAAACAGGTGGAGGCATACATTGAGAAAAGAGAAAATATCCCTAATAATAAGAGTCCGGATAGTATAAACGAAAGAATTCGATAGTATTGAGAGAATGTTTGCATGAAGGGCATAAATTATGACGAATAATAATATTAATAATGATAATAATTGTAGTAATAATATTTGTAATAATAAGCAAAGGAAAAAAAAGCCAAGAGGGTTAAGGGGAAGGAGCACTCTTGGTGAGAAGAAGAATCATCAATCCAAGTTTGGCCACGGTAGGAACAGTGTCTGGACGTGTTCTTTTTAGATACAAAGTTCCGGTTTATTCGATCTTATTGCAACAGCTTCAGCTATGTGTAGAAGACGGAAGCGAACTGTACGTGATAATGACTTCGGAATTCGGTATATAACCCTGAAAGCTGTGTTGACATCGATTTGATGTTCAGTATCGACCAAGTGTGACAGGATCGAGCTTTTTATGCATTTAATTTCCCTCCTGCTGAACAAAGCTGGTAAATGTTCTCGAACCCGTAGACGAACCTGCCTAGTCGTGTGCCCTATATAACTTGAACCACGGGAACAGTTGAAATGGTATATGCATGAAGAAGAGCTAAGCTTGTATATAAGTTCACAAAAGTAGTGGCTTCATGATTTGATCAGGTTAAATAGATATGTCAGTAGACAAAAGCTGCATAGTGGTTATGAGCTACATGAATTATTTTGGGAAAACAGGATACAGTAGAAGTAAGAAAAGAACACCAACTATTTACTACCAATAGTTTCAACTGTGCTGGTTGCTTGTTCAGTTTTTTCCTTTAACTTAAGAAAGGTTTCGCCTAAGCCCATACATTCCACTTATTATCATTTGGTGCTAGACATTCAGCTGCGAAATGCGCAGAAATAATTTGTTAGAGCTAGGTAGAAACTGTAGCAAAATCGTGAAGCATATCAGTGAAACTTTTATTTTGTACTACATGCTGCAACGTACAGTAATTTCAGCATTGTAATCCAGAGACGAACTTATTTTCAGATTCACTGGCTACAGCTATAGGCGTTCAGCACTTTATCCAGTCACTGTAATGAAGTTATTAAGATTCTTGAAGGGCTTACCACAGTTCTGATTACAAGATCCATAACCTGGCACTTTAGTACCCACTATTTTATTTGCCAGTTTTTATGACTAAACGTAAGAATGTCTTTTTTGTGTAATATTTCAGCTGTCAGATTATATCCTGGTGACCACCTCATGCACATAATCAAACTTTACTGTTAGTCTCTGATTGTGAAGTACTGCCGAATCACAGAAATCAAGTGGGTTTTTTCAAGAAACACCATATTGGTGGGCACATAAAAATTAGGATCATTGAAAGCCGAATCTATTAATCAATTATTATGTTATTTTATTGAAAAATCTCTTTTTCTGACATTATCCTGTACACTAGGATTTATATTTTCTTATCATATCCAATTCTGCTCATTATTAGAACAGCCCTGTAATGTGGCCATTGAGAAATCACTGTCCATAGGTTGAGGTTGTTAATATTAACTTATGTCAATGAGACTAGTCAGTATGACCAATAGTCTACTTGCGTGATGAATTGTCATAAACATATTTTGCTGAATGAACTGTCAGTGTTTAAGCTGTCTTACAGTCCAGCCTTTATGCCGAGCTTCCTTTATGTTATTTTAAAGTTTTACCTGACAATATGAAAATTGTTCCTCGAAAATCGTCTCTGATTTTAAGGACTTGCGTAATGTCGACAGTCGTGGGTTTATATGTGTAATTTTTTCATTCATATGTCACCTGAGAACATCTAAAATGAATTTAATGAAAACATAAGAAAATGAATACGGTTAGTTAGTATTTTTACACGAGATTCAAAAAATGAGGAGCGATATTCAATTCAGCAAGACAAATTTCTTTAGGACATACAGAATGAAACAGAAAAGTAATACATCAGGAAACTAAAACGATGATACAGGTCACAGTAGGTGAGACCTTCAGTTTGATGTCTTTCACGACTTAGACGTCTACTGAACTACACTAATGGAGATTTGCAAGACTGAAATTTTCTTATATTTCATTGTGGTAAAAACACATACACAGAAGAAAAAGAAGAAATTTCAAAGCTTGACGAACATTGGAGAATTCCTACTCCCATCTTCAGTTACTAGTGTTCACTAGTAATACTGGATAGGGAGAAAAAAATATGCGAAGACAACAAACTTTTCGTAATAGATACTGTTTTATTTGATATATTGATCTTAGCTACCGACATGTTCCATATGCTGAAACTATTTTCTGCCTTAATTAACTTTGAAAGTCCAATGAAAGTCCTCGTGTCCTCGTAACAGGTTTATTTTCAGTATTTCATACATGAAAAACATGAACTGAACTCAGACTTTTAAAGAAATCAGTCAGTCCCTGAACAACAAAAGGGCAGAAATTCAAGGACAGAAATCACCGATATAGCTAATACCAGCATTATCATAACTGTAATTAATATCAGTCGCGTGATTATTATTTGTAATAGCAGTGGTAGCAACATTAGTAGTAGTAGTAGAAGAAGAAGAAGAAGAAGAAGGAGAAGTAGGATTCATAACAGTAATTAACTTTATGTATTAAATATTGTAATAACATAGTAAGTATATGGATGTATAAAAAGCATTAATTATTATACAAAGGGAGGTTCACAAAATAATTGTTACTTTGAGTAGTTTTATTTTCTTCTACGTTTTGACATAAAAGTATATGAAGAATGATATGGATGACAACGCCAGGTAATTATACTCAATTATTTATTATATTCAAGCATATACACATAAGGATACAAAAAATAGGTTGGTGAGTGGTAAAGTGGTTGAGATACTCTTACAAAAGTGGAGAGGTAAAATGTGGAACGCAACTATTATTATTGTTTCTACCTGATTAGAGACCCATCAATAAAGATACAGGAATAATTGGCAGTGAGTTTTGATTCGTGTTTCCGCTAGCCACCAAATATTTTTCGATTTATATGAATACATGCATATATATATTCTGATGTCTGTTGGGTACAGTACTATAATTTACACTAAACATGCTAATTTATGCATTTATTCAAATACCTATTCTCTTTGTGTGCTTATTATTCTCTCTGATGAATTATGCAAAAAATGATCACCTTTCGTTTCTAGGCAACTGTAGGAGTCAGTCAGCTGATTATTGTGAATCTCGTATACAGAATAGTGTCTGCCATTGGATGAAAGATGAATGTTTTTGTCGTATGGGTTATGTGGCAATAAGAGAAAATGATGAGATTGTCTGTCGAACACGTAAGTGTATTCCACTTGAATTTTGTCTTATTTATATGTATGAACATGATAAATGTTTTCACGTTCATGGTATAAATGTCTTTCATATTATTATGTAATTTCAACTCTCATGGGTTATTTCGAAAGATTGGGAGACAGAAAGACATAAATGAGTCGTTAGCAGACCATCAACTAACATTTGCGGATCACGGATCGACACAATGGTCTTTTTAAGGTTTAGATTCTTGGACTTTTGTTGAACTTGGTTCTTTGCAATTAGTTGTGTTCTCTGAGCTGGTTGGTTTAATTGTGAAGCTTTCATCATCCTTCCGGACATCTTCAGCGCAAGTTTTAGCATAAAATGAACTGATTTAAATTCTCCATGAGTGATAGAATTGTGTCTCCTAGTAACCATCTTCGTGACTGGTAGTCGATTTACATTTGTACTGATCATTTTTTTATTGACTTGGATTTTGAACTTTCTCGTCACATGATTTAATTTTCACTAGTTGGTAGATTTGGTCTATATTAACATGTTTGTTAATCGCATATTCGCCAAGTACCAGGCTTTTAGAAATTCTCTGGCACTTTTGGTTTTTTCACTGTTTACAATTTCGACGTTTTCCCAATCAAACTGATGTCTATAATTATCTACATGCACTGATATGAAAGAATATATATCATGTCTCTTCATAACTAATTTATATTCTTGGGTTCTGATTCGAAGAAGACGTCCACTTTGACCGATGTTAAGTCTGTTACAGTTCATACAATTTATTTTGTAAATCGTATTAATTCTATCTTCTTTTTCTGTTGGATCTTTGGGTTTGCACAACATATAATGAAGTGACTGTGCTGACTGGTTTGTGTGTTATATCTATTTCAAACGGATTGAGTTTTCTAGCCGTTATTTCAGAGATATTCTTCTCAGCTTAGAGAACTGGAAACCACCTACTCAATCTCACCTCAAAATGGATGTACTTCTAGTTCTGCTTCTACAAGAACTTTGTCAACACTGGACATGGTAGATATTCTTTAATATATATACTTGTTAGAACTAGCGATTAAATAATCGCATTGCATAACGTATCTTTTCTTATTAGCATTTTAATATATAGAGGTATTTTGCCTACTTCATACGAGATTATCTATCAATGCTAAAAATATAAGTTGATGCAGAAATTACTTGACATGTTAAATTTGATGACCATTTGGGTATAACTGTAAAAGAAACGTTAAACAGATGATAATAACAACTACAAATAGATTTCATGTAAACTGGAGCGGTAAAATTTATAATTTGGTTGACTGAAATGAATTCAACAAGGATAGTGAATAAAGCATCATACAATTATCAGTATAGGAAATAGTAGAGACGATAACATGAAAGTCAGAATAAGTGTAATTAACACTAAATCAAAATAGATTTTTAATTTTAGCTTGTAAATGTGAAGAGATTAATAGAGTTTTGAAAATTAAAAAATAAAAACACAAACACAAACTTCGAAATCATATATCATGAGTTTCTTCTATGGCCTCGGTAACTGAGACCTGGTTCACAAAAAGAAAATCCAAAACTTCCACTAGAAATGATCTAGAGCCTACTCCAAACTTTTGAAAATCTACTTATCACTTCTATCAAAGAAGAAATAAATAGATATATGAACAGTTAAATCCAACCGATGAAGGTAGCGTGGCTGACTGATTCGAGCTGTTAAGTAACGAAAAGGGTGAAAATCAAGTCCTGGATCTTATTCATAGTCAATTTAAAAGTTACAAGCAGTATCAATAAATCCGTACAGAGGGTCTCTAAGTTATTTCAAAATACCAACAACGAGGAAAACGGAAAATACCATTGATGAAAAGTAGGCTGCTAAGTGGATGGTTACTAGTTCAAGTGTATTTTATCTTTCCAGGTCTGAGAACAGCAAGAAGAAACAGTGGTGCAAAATAAGATGGGTGTATTCTATTTCACGGGTCTGTAGCATTTATTACGAGTTACGATACGGTTTTGTCGTAATTTAGTTCATTAACAAGAATCAGTTCTCCGGTGAAGAATACTGTAGCAACAGCATAGTGAAGTAAAAAGAAAATTGTGGATAATACATATTACAAACAGAAATGAGTCACTGTTTGTATGCAGTTACATGAGTCATGTTACGTGTTCACCTGAGCTACTCAACAATGTAAATGAAGACATCAGTCTGCACCGAAGATAGGACTAGACACATTACACTAGTTACTGACCAGTGTGCAATCAAAAACATCACTTCCACAGTGTAACACGGAAATTTCTGGAGATTAAACTTTTTGGATATCAGCTTGGAACGGAGAATAGATGGCTAACTCAGAAGATGAGTTTCTAGCAGGAATACATGTAATGGACTCTATCTGAATTTTAACAGCTTATTTCCGATCAGCTATAAACGAGAACTGGTGAAGACCCTGACCTGTAGAGAAAACGCAATAATTTCAGCGGATAAACTAGGTGGTATAAAGTGTTACTAGAGAAATGTCCGAAAATAAGTCACCCTCAAAGCTTCTTTACAGACTTTAAAGAGCCGATTTTTATTTACCTAGACTTCCAGTATACAGAATCTCGATTTCTGAATACCCCGATTCCCGCTCCTTGTATTTCATAATGTCTTATTTCAGGATTATTACTCAGTTATCTGATTGCTCAAGCGATATCTTGAATTTCATTAATTCAAATATATACATATATATATATATATATATATATATATATATATAGTAACTCATATTAAATGCTCCTAGTTGTATGTAACTGAAGCTAACCCATGAAATAAGATGAATCCATCTTGGTTTTTCTTTAGCTTTCATTTATGTTCTTTTGAAAGCTATGAAAAGGTATGCATAAGGTTTTTAAAGAAACTTCACTTTTCTGAAGTTTTAATCTTGTGAAGCGTGCTTTTATTATGCAAAATGTCTTACTCATATTCAGCTTTTCTTCTAAAAAGGTCAACATTATCAAAGTCTGTCGTCTAACATGATAGTATATTACATAAATTTGTTTTCTGTGTTTTCTGGTCAAAAATTTACTGAGTTTTCTCAACAGAACTGTCAAGCCTTTTATGATGGTAACGTGTGTAAATTCGTCTGTAGGCCAGTGCATTTTCCAACAAACGCAAGAGAAGGAAAATATCGCTGATAAAATGTTTTCTGGTGTTAAAATACTCATTCCGAACCTGCAATAACAATTTTCGCATAGCTCAATACCTTCAACAGTATCTTGTTTTATTTCTCCTGCTTCGATCATAACAACTTCTTTCAGTGCTTTAATTTACACTACATCCCAGTGAACTACTTACAACAATTTCACCGAACGTATAAACTAAGCGTTACCGTAGTGACGTGGTGTGCATATTCATTTTGCGTTCGAGTAGTTTGAACCTCTGAACCAAATGTTTACCATAATTTGTAAACATTACTACATTTCTGCCTTTTTTTATCTTCACATGTTTCAGTTGCTTTTGTCGAGTAGATTTATTCCGAGTTAAAATTTAATTGCTATCGTGTTTTTCACTGTTATATTCTTAGTAAATGTCAAACAGGTAGTCATACATTCTCATCTTTTTCAATTAATATTTCATAAAAAACTACACACAGTTAACTCTAACCTCTGGTCACATGATAGAATTAAAAGAATAGAACTTTGAAAAACTCAAACAAGTCAGTCTACTAGGTATTGTAGCTATCATTTTATAAATAAGAAAATGGTTAATGGAAAAACAATGACAGTAAACTGCATCATAGTGACATACATTGAGTAGGATTATAAAGCGAATTCAATCGGCCCATTGCATCTTGACTTCATTGCTTGATGATGGACTCTGAGGTTTGAGCGCTCATGGTTATAAATTAAAATGAGACCTTGTGTATTCTGAATCTTGAAACATCCATTAACAAATGCTGCAAGTTCCAATATCTACTCATTAATCCCATTGACGAAATGATGAACTGATAGGTTTGGATAAGTGTCGGACACTGAAAAGCTACATCGGTAAGGGTCCAGTAACGAATCCTCATAGTTTAACGTTTGACTGCTATAGTTTTAATAACACTTAAGTGATAAAATTACTTGTAAAGTATTATTAATAAGAAGCAGGGGTTTCTTTACTCTAAAATCTATGTTCAAAATAAGCTCTACAACCTATTTTATTTTTTATGAAACATTTCAATTTTGTCAGTTGCTCTATTGTATTAATACCAGTAAACACCCACTGTCTAACGTCTATTGTACTGTTTTTGCATTGTAGTTCTAACTGATCTCTCCTGTCGTGTGGATTCAGACTGTGTACATGTAGATTTCAGTGTTTGTCATCCTGGAGCCGGAAAATGTATATGTCCTGGAAATACTATTTATGTTGCATATCTACATGCCTGTAGTAAGTAGTTTATTAATCGAATACTTCGTATTTATGGTTTGGAGAATAAACATTAATCCTTATGTAGATAAAAGGCTTATATACTTATTCTTAGTAATAGTTTGATCATTAAAGTGTGTACAGAAGAAATTAATAATTACAATACAAATTTGTTCCGATAGTGATCACACCAATATGACACATGTTTTTTGCTTTAACGGAAAGTTTTCAGCATTGTGAATCATGTTATTGATACAGGTTCTGGTTCCAAATATTGGTTCACTATACAGTCATTATGCTTAAGGAAATGATGTTCGGTCCAAATCAGTAAACATTTCCCGTTCAATGCTGGCAGTCTTTTTGTGCTTAAAGTTTTGTTCGATTCGTTTTCAAATCACTCAGTGATGAACTTCAGACTGCTGTTGACGAAATTAGTTTATTCTCCAGATTTTTAAATAAAAAATCGGATAACTGCTCTATGGATTAAGAGGAGTTCAGAATAATAGTAAAGTCGACTTCATCTCGTTGGTTAAGTCAGTACAGAAACTTCATATTACATAGAGCACCTAAATTCAATTTTGTTGTGATATCATGTATGCGAATCACTGAATTACGGCAGTTCGGATACTACATTTTGAATTTTCAGGGTATTATTGGTAATATCGATAACTGGAATGAATTGTTTTCAATAGCCGGATTGCCGCAGCATTCTGTGGAACTTGAATGCAGGTTAAAGATAACACTGATGGTCTTTTGTTTGTAAACGTTGTACTTTTATTCATAACTGATCTGATTGAACCATGATCTAAAATATGTAGAAAATAGTTTGTATTTAAGTTATGTGCATTCTATCACTAAATAATCTAGCTTTGAAATCTAATATACTTCATCATACATCATTCCTCATTACATACCAAGGTCAGCGAGTAAAGTAGAAGAGGGGGGAATAGTCATCATTTTTCAGATAAAACGAGATCACTAAAGAAATAGTTACTTCAATAAATGATAAGCAGCATATCAGATAGTTACTGACAGTAACTTAAGGTACTAGAGTGGTTCGAAACGTTAGGCTCACAAATAAGTGATCACATGGAAGTCCTAGTAAATTTTTCTAGTCATTTAACAATACCTTCCATTGAGTCTTATTGGCGTTTTTAAATATTTAGGACGAAAAATGGTTTATATATCCTCTTTAAAATACATCCCAGTAAATTTTAATGTATTGTCCATTGTAAGAAAATATCATAGATTGAAATTTTCACTCCTGCCCTATGTACAGAGTTGATGTTTACGTGACGTTTCAACAGTGACTCAGAACTGCTGCGACTAAAACTGACTTGAAGAAAACCAATCTCTGTGTTCTACTATGTGGCTGACAAAACTTCCTTGAGACGCACGCAGTGACGAAATGCTCCAAAGACAAGGAAAAGACTATTATTGTAGAATAATATTGCGGTTCTATTAAACGACAATAATAATAACTTTTCAAGATTTGATTTATTTTTCGCGTTAGACCACGGACTGATATCAGTTAGAGAACCATTGAAAACCAGGAGGTACTGGACAGCTGTTTCATCATAGCTTGGAACTCATCAGCAGTATGCACCCAGCAATGACACTGGTTGGTGGTCGCGCTAAAATCATGAATTGGGGGAGTTACAATTCATGGGTCATTGAATCGGGTCGCAGGGGCTGAATGATAGACGAGTTTGCCTTGTTACTGGAAGGTCCTGGGTTCGAAACTCATTGGCTGCGTACTGCCGGTGAGTCCCAAACTAGGATGAAATAGCTTTCAAATACTCCCAGGTTTTCCAATGGTTGTCTAACCAATAACAATACGTGGCCTAACTCGAAAAATAATAATAACATCAAAAATTCAAAATTATCTTTACAGAGAAATTAGGCAGGTATGCAGTCCAGTCTAAGTACAAAACCAGTGCCTAGAATCAAAGAGAATATTCCTTTGTCCAGAAGAATTAAATACCAAGTTCCAAAATGAACTTCATTCACTCAGTTGAAATTACATTGTTCGAAAAATTATCAATGTACAAACAACCACAAACCGAAGCATTAAAATTAGAAATTAAACAAATATAAACAATAAGAATCAAATTAGCATGTGATATGTCAATGTCAACATATTGATATACAGTCTAAAAGTAAAATGGATAATAATTACTAAGTTAGTTACAACGTCCAAAAGTGTAGAAAAATTATGACTAGATCGTCACATGAGGGATTTCTTAAACAATTTCTCCGTTACACCTGCGGCCTAAATCCCTCCATATAGCTTGGGACGTCTTTTAATGCATTTTGTCATGGCTCTTTCTCTTACTTCTCGAGTTCGGGCCTAAAAACTTTACAACTGCATAACCTCATCCTAGCCTAAATTTGCAGGTCCATTAAAAAGGTAGTGACTTCGTACATTCCTTCTGTCGTTAAACCATCACAATCTCACAGCAACAGGAGAGTATTCGGCGCTAGGTCTTAATATGTCACTAAATTATCATCACTAACTGTCTGCTCCTTAGAAGTCACCAACATCAGTCTGTGAACGAAGCGTATCATTCTCTCCTGTATCCCACTCAAGTGGTTACAAGATGGAGGATTCAAATGGCATTGTATACCTCTGAATGTCATACAGTCATTTATCTTATGTTTATTCCACACGTCGATGTAACCTCGTAACTCAAAAACCGTTCCAGTATAAATTCATCCCCACGTAAAATGACAGCAAAGAACTAATAATTTGAATATTTTATCTCAAAATGAATGAGCTCTGATTACGTTAAGAACAGGTAATTCACTCTCTTAATTATCATTATTCCCTTGGTTTCCGAGCGGAACACAGTTGTACACATTGCTTTACTACTTTCCGTTAATCTTTATAAAAAAAGAATATAACACAGCCTTAGACATTAATATATATATATATGAACAAAGAATTCAGCAAAAAATTCTCTTTTCGATGATTTCATTTCCAAAGCTGTACAAGCATATATTTATGTATAGAAACTTTGACGGTGAGTGAAAATAATAGTGCGATAATATTGGTGTATAGGATTATGAGTCACAAAATGATTAGGTATGTGCATGAATACATAATTATAATTTATATAAATGAAAAACTAAACAAATAGAGGTCAAACTAAAGTTCAACAGACAAGTGTGAAATAGCTCATCGGAAGATGAAGTACATTCGGAAATGTGAATATGTCATGACAATATGCTGTCTCAGTGGGAATTTTTAATTTAATTAATATATGTGCAAAACTTTGGCGCTATGGCAGCATGCAATTTCATATTAGTTTGTTTATTAGGTGTATCACATAGCGTTGAAGTTTTAGCAGCAATTTGGTTAAGTCTTGGGGGTGGAGCTGCTAGCATCACGCCCCAACCCTCTCTCTTTATCCAGGCTTGGGACCGGCTAGAATACTAGTGACCTAGTAATCTAGGCGAGGTTATATGACACAGCGAAACAGTATTATTTACTGGATGACGTTTCGAACAAAATTTATTGTTCATAATCATATCAATTATAATCACACGACTTCGAAACTTGAGTTTTATAGTTTTCTTTGTCCTCTCCTATTTGTCGCCATTGGGGTTGTAAAATTTTCCAGATATCTGGAACAGGTGTTGAATCATTCTTATTACATGTGTTTGCAGTTGATTCGATAAACAAAGCTTCTGTTATCAATCTCTCCCTCCACCCTGTTACATTAGATTTTAAAACTGTACTCTTATCTCATCCATCCCATTGTACGGTTGTCTGTAATTGCATGTGGTGAGTGCTATAGCTGAACTATTCTCTAGATTTCCTATCTTATTCGGGTCAACCAATCTAGATTTTGCTAGGTTTTTATGCTCGGCTAGTCTGACTGCGCCTGTTCTACTACTTTGACCTGACAATCATTCCAGCAGGGTATTAGATGAACTAAATTGTTTTGTTTTAAAGGCTCCACAGGATCCTTTAAACGACAAAGCTTGTTTCTAATTGAGTTTGTGGGTTTGAATGCCAGCCACTTTCATTCCTGCCTTGTTAAGAATTCTGCGTGAGGTGGTTTCCGAGGTTCCTTCCTTGTATGGAATTACTAGTGATGATTTAGATTCCTTATTGTTGGTGTTGTCTTGCGCATATTTGACTTGCATGTCGTCATTAATATTATTATTATTGTTATCACTATCACTACAATCATTATTTATTTTATTTTTACATTTCCCTACATATTTCCTGACTAATTTATCAGGGTAATTATTAAGTTTCAAGGCTTCTCTTATATGTATCACTTCCTGTCTTAGATTTTCTTTGGTACTACTTAGTTTTTGTGCTCTGTCACTTAAACATTTCACCAATCCTAATTTTACTGACATAGGATGGGATGATTGGAAGTACAAATATCTGTCTGAATGTGTGGGTTTCCTGTAAACACTAGTGATTAACTTCCCATCTTCTTTCGTTTTTACACTGCAATCTAACATTGGCAGTTCCCCTTCCTGACTTTCCAATTCATAAGTGAATTGAATTGCCTCCACCTTTGAGTTGATGTGTTCGAAAAATCTATCTATATCTTGTGTTCTAAGTACAGTGAATGTGTCATCTACATACCACGACCATACATTTTGGGTGGGGGTGAACGTTTTAATTATACTACCACTACGAAAAATAGGAGGGCAGAAGAAAACTGTAAAACTCAAGTTTCGAAGTCGTGTGGTTATGATTGATATGATTATGAACAATAAATTTTGTTCGAAACGTCATCCAGTAAATAATACTGTTTCACTGTGTGACATATCCAATAAACAAACTAATATCGAATGGTTTTAGGCAGACAGTTGTTTTCCACAAGTGCGGTGTTTGTCATCATGGCAGGCTGTCTCATTCACCTAACTTATAGCTGTTACCTTTCTCAGAATCTGTAATGTATTACCAAATGAATATTAATTGGCAGTCAGGCGAATAGTTCCACAGTGAGATTTCAGAGTTTGGTATCAGTTCGCTCAATGGTTTCTTAAATGTTTCTGCTGTTTATTTGAAAAGCAGTATTTTTTATTTTTCTTCGCTTAAACTACTATAACTTTGCCTGCGACAGTTAGGTTAACAAAATTTTTAAGAAATGTTATATAGGTTGGTTTATTTTTACTATATTATACCATGACTCCTACACACATCTGTTGCATGGCAGTATTTTAACAAACCTTGACAACTGAAAAGTAATTATCATCAATGTGATACTTTTGTTAATCAGGAAACAAGTTATTCCATCAAAATTATGATGCTTGCAATATCTGTGGCTCAAATTACGTATGTCATGAGGTATTTGAAAAGGATTTACAGCGCATGGATGACGTGAACGCCATCACAATAAAATTAGGTATCATTGCAGACAAGTAAGTTCAAAACACAAAAATCAACTTGAAATTGTTCATAATAAATTGTTTTTTCTTGAACTTTTACCTCGAAATATGATAAATTTATTATCATTACTACATAGTTATATGCATGTCAAAACCTAGTCTTTGTGAATAATCATAATTTATCGCTTGTTTCTGATAGTTATCTTAGGGATTATAAGCAATTTAAAATCAACTGTCTTGCTTAGCGGTATACATTTCCAGTTCATTGTACTCTGATGTAAGAGGTCAGACATATACAGTAATTTTATGTATCAGCTCCTCATGAATTACAAAACACATTTCATGGAAAATGTCCCCTGTACGCTACTTACTAGAGACATCACTAGGTCAATTGGACTTCCACAAGAGAGATTCCGCTTTGTTCCTTCTTTAGGTACTCGTATTTCGCTCAGTATTTACGTTATATGAAGCTGCTCAATGAATATGAAGCTATTGTTTGAAGTGGTGACGAAGCCTATGATTGATTTTTTTTTGTTCATGGTACTGCCTATATTTTCATGCCAAGATGATGATAACAGTCTTATTCCGGATAGTATTTATGTGATGCATAGAATATTCGGCGTTGATATACAACCGTTGATTGTGAATACATCAAAACGCTTTTTGTACTATTTGCAGAGAACTAAGTGTTGTGCCATAATTAGACTGAACGCAATTTATTCGCATCATTTCCCCCGATAGGGTCAAAAGATGCGCCTTTATTCGCTGTTGTCAACTCATGCTGTCAGTCAACATTCTCGGGAATATGACAATAAGACTGGGTGCTACAGGCGCCATGCAAATAACCCCTCATGATATAGACGTGCAATTTCCAATTAAATCGAAATAAAACCGAATTGTTCCAAATAAACTTGACTTTACGCCAAATAAACCCCACGGTTCCAATTACAATCGACCAAATCCGAAAAACATGAAATGGAGCGTCGCTGACAGTCAATACTGATGAAAATATCACAGTTGGTGAACTAACTAACGTTTTACAGGACAATTGTATCACTTTATGAATAACCTAATATATCTACCACCAGTAACTCCACCCTCAAATATGAGACGAATTTTGGTTAAATTTCTTTATGGCCATGCTGACTATTATACAGTGTACACTGAGACCGCCTTTGTAGAGTCACCTTATGGATATCATTCATTTACATACATCTTGTGTGAGTATATTATTATTATTCTCTTGGGTTCCGAGTGGCACATAGGGTTTCAACAACAATTCTCCACTTTCTTCTATTTTCTGCTGTCCCTTTAGCTGGGTCCAAGATTGCCCATAATCTGTCATCTCCCCGCACGATCTCCTCCACATCACCATTGCACCGACCACCCACTCGTCGCTTACCAGTGGGATTCAAATCGACATGTAGTCAACATTGCGCTCAATGTCATCCGATGGCCTCCTCAACATATACCCAATCTATCTCCATTTTCGCCTACATATTTGCTGAGCGATCAGTTCTTGGTTGATTTGTTCCCACAGATCCTGTCACTTATTCTTTCTAGCCATCTGATCTTCAGTATGGAACTAACGAAGGCAGCTGTTGGTTAAAGTCTGTAACCTGTTGGAAATCCCTTTTGGGATACGCAGTGCAAACTTCTGATCCGTATCGAAGAACTGACTAACTTCACATTTGTGTTGGAAATCTGGATCTGGTTGTTTATGCTGACTGAGTGAAGCATAAGATTTACAAACTAGTTTCAGGTTGATGAGGACATGTCTTGCCTTTCCGATTCGGGCTAGCTGGTTTTGACACCTTCATCCGTGCTGTATGGCTGTGGATTGGTACGATGCTTCCTAACCGGATAAGCGTACGAGGTAACCTCTATCAAATCTCCCTCGTTGATGTTGATTGGTGCTGGTTGTTGTTGCTGCGGTTCGTTAGTTATCTCCATCACCTCCGTCTCTGCCTTCTTTATGTTCACCTGCAGTCCCGTCTTCGCTACCTGCTTCTTCAGCCAGTTTGTTGGTTTTCGCCTGCAAGTATTTGAGTCTGTGCGACAGTAAACATAAATCATCTGCGAAATCTAGATCTTCAAGATGGAGTCTTCTTATCAAACGTCCAACGTATTCCTGTCTTCTCACTCCCCACACACAGTCTTCCGCATAATCCAGCCCACCGCAATCAAGAATATCATTGGTGATAATAGGCAGGCTGTCTAGTCTTACTCCTGTATTCACTTCGAATGCCTCTCTGAGTTTTCCGTCGTGGATCACCTGACACGTGGCACTGTCATATAGCCACCTGTTGAATGAGGTTGATAAAGATTTGGGACACTACACACCATGGTTTTGAGGTAGTTTCTAATTTACTTCTTGGTCAACGAGGCGCTGTCGAAGGCCTTTTCGAATTCGATGAAGTTGAGGTAGAGGTTTGACTGCCATTCAGTGCTTTGTTCTATGATGACGATGCTTGGAATTGCAATTTAATCGGCACGTAATTTGCCTTTCCTGAATCCAGCATGTTCTGTGCCGACGGAGTTCTGTATCCAGTGCATCTTTTATTCTCTCCGGGATGACACAACTTAGTATTTTACTTGGCGTGGACAACAGCATTAATCCACGCCAGTTTTTGCAGAGACCTGCACAATTCTTCAGGTATATGAAATATCAGTTGGGGATCAGTCTTTTGTGAACAGGTTTTGGAAGTCTCTCGTACAGAGTTTATCCCATTTACATTATGCCTTAACTTGTTGAATGAATAATACAATACGATTAATAGTTACTCGTTTAGTTTCTCAGTGCTGTGTTATTTGAAGTGTGAGGAATAATAATATTATTAAGTCAAATAAACAACACCAGAACGGTGAACACTAAACTGAGAGCATTCTCATATTCTATCGTTTTTCATTAGATGATGCAGTCATACGGAAATGAATGAGAATGCTTTTTGTAAGTAGAAAGAGTTAAAACAAAAAGAAACATTGCTGCAATTGTAGTCCTTAGCTGTTTTTATCATTCCATTCAAAGTCGTTTTGGTAAGTTCAAAATAATCTGAAACACTAAACTTTCCCTTGATTGATCCACAAAACAGGCTTCACTTCAGTGTTTGATACGTTGGTTTCAGTGACAAATTTTCCGTTCACTAGGAATCGGCAAATACAAGTCAGAGATTTCTTTCGTCAACCCACTAATGCATAATACCTGTTCGTCTCAGTGTCCCATCTCCAACCATTTTTAATACATATTTTTCCGTTGAGTGTGCACATAAACTTTGTATAAGGATATTTAGAAATACTTAAGTAGGCTCCACAATTACGTAATACCTGCCTCGTCAAAACGCTAGACAAGTAAACGACTCTTCTAAGGCAAGTTCCCATTTACTTTCACCTGTGAAACATATCGGATGGTTATATACTGTTCGTCCTTAATAGTTATAGCAGCTGAGAAATCTAAAGTAACATTTTTTTCTCTTGATTTCCATCCCTAGTACAAACAGTCCTGCGTACATAGGGTGTTCGTGTACATTAGAACATCTGAAACAATCAGCAAATATATCATTTGATTCTAAGTTGACGAGAGTGGATCGTTTATGCTCTATTAATTTGCGTAAGTTGACTTTTTTCGTTAAGTTTATAAACCATCTAGACATGAGAGCATAAAAATAATTTATCCCACTTATTACTTATACCTCAGTTTTTTCAAATATCAAAATTTGTGTCATATAGTTTCAGCTTGGCTCCACAAAACGCACACATTTCAGTTTATTTAAACAACAGAGAAGTCAATAATTTTTATATGTAATCCAAACATCGAAAAGAGGATCCTAGTTTAGATAATTGATTTTGAAGTGGACTTGTCCACTCCATTAGATGAATTCATCATACCATGCAGGGGTGCAGGATACTTATGACAAGTTCCAAATTAGGATAGATGAGGCAGAGAAATAAAGACTTATGATCTTTGCTTGTTGAAACAAAGTTGGGAATATGCAGCAGGATTATTTCAAAAGGAACCGCAGATGCCGCTATCAATTATGGTTCAGTACTACCTGACTGTAGAAACATCCAAGCCAAGGGAAATAAAGGTATTTATGACCATGTTGTGTATGTGAAGCAGTAAAGTCTGCTATAAATACTAGCCAGTCAATATTATTTTACCACGGTATATCGAATACAAAAGTTAACATGGAGTTTCTCCTTAACACTAACACTGAAGACTGTGATTTGATTCAACTTAACTGCACTTTTAATATTAATTAAATTTGATTAGATCTTTTCAACTAAATCGCTTACAAAGAATGAAACTTACTAGCTATATATCAGTCACTTTTTGTTGCGACACAGTTAAGCAAGTGACTATAAGTAATCTTGTTTAAGAAGCCTGAAAAAAGAAAACGAACTTACTATATGACATCACAAAATCCATTTAGTTAGTTTTTACATGTATTACAGAGATAACTAACAATTTTACATTAATTATAATCTGAACAATTTTTAAGTGACTAAACTGTTTCACTTGCCCTTAATTTCACATTTTGTACACTGAGAATTTTACCACCAAAACATTATTTGTACTTCTGTTTTCGATATGCTGAATAGCTGATATTGGTGAAGTCTGCGGTCATTCAGGCCTGGTGTGCAGATCACGTAATGCTCAATGTAGTAATTCATCTCATAAAAGAATTTGTACATGTCCAGCCAACACAATTCCAGTATATCAGAACTTTTTAGACTACTTCGAGTGTTGTAAGTCTACATATTCTGATGACACTGAACTATGTTCATATTTTTAACAAATATTTGTGATTTATGTTTATCATCTTAACTGCAAAATTCCTTGTAAACTACTTCTAAGAAAGTATTTATGACCTACACTTTTGTAGAAACTGATCCTTATATATGTGCGTAAAATGACTGTATAAATTAGGCGGGTTGTTGTAACAACATTCTTAGGGATATTATCTATTTTTTAATCCATAGAAACATCAGTGCATGTTTAAGTCGCCTTATTCCCTTTTTCTCCAGCTTTTTTGCCATTACTATCACCACCAGTATTTCAGCTTTTCTATCTTCCTCTTGTTCAAGAATAATAGTTTGGATCAGAAAGTTACTGTATGATGTCCGGCTTTAGATGTCTCGTTCTGTTCCGAAACATTCAATTTGAGTACTGACATACAAATCTGTCATAAACTGATTGAAGACAGGAACATTCTGCCTGCTTGAGAGAACATGTCTGTAACCGGTTTATACAATCACACCTGCAGTTGTTTTTACAGTGTGGTAAAATGTTTCATCAAGTGTTTAGTATATTCATTAACATCTAGATAGGAATTATTCATAAAGTATGTTCTGGTTATAAAAATAAGAAAAGTTGATTGGCATTTGCTGTTGTAAAAGAATGGTTACTGAACAAAGGAAATTCTTTCCAATAATTCCATCATCTGGTTCTACAGTTATACGTACATAATATTGAATGAATTAGAGTTATTAACAACATAAATGTTTAAATAACATTGAATCAGTAATAATATCAATGCATTACAGTTCGATGGCATCAACATAACACACTGAATATCAGAGAAATTAGAAAAAATAATTATACAGATTCATGAATTTATAGTCTCCAGTGAAGGCCAGAGCAGTAGTAGTGGCTAGGCTTGCTTCTTCTGCACACATAGCACCGGTTGTTTCAAAAGAATCGCTATAGCCTCTTCTGTTTGAAGTATGTGGATGTTTTTGGCAGTTTGCTTGCAACGCAATAGATGGTAGAGAAGGATTCTTCAATACTAGCTTCGTGATAGGTATGGACCAGTTTGTCTAATATCGAACTGTTGATGCTTCCCACTACACCTTTGTTAAACCACACTGGTATATGTTCTCAAGCACGAAAAACCAAGTTCCTAGAGACTAGCCACTCCTGACTGTATCTGCCAATTGGCCGTTATTATTGATTCAATGTTGCTAATAACCCTAATTCATTCACTATCATATATATATATATATATATATATATATATATATATATAGCTGTAGAACCTGATGATGAAATTGTCGAAAAGAATATTCTATGTTCACTCACCATCGTTTTGGAAGATTACAATGCGTATTTTTAATCATTTGGTTTTGTAAAATATAAACCTATGCATTCATGTTACACATATATTAGCTTCTAAACAATCGGGTGAGATGCTGGATGACATTCCCCAGTAATAATAAACTATCTCCCGCTAGAAAACTTTGATTTTCGGCTATGAAGAAATACTTGAACGGTAAGAAGACAAAAATATACATTAGTAAGTACGACCTGACTCATCAGAAACTTCGAATTTCAACGTAGATGGTATTTTTCCTCCTTTTATTGTATGCTTACCCTCAATCAAAACTATGTTTTATTAAATACTTACTTAGAATAACTTCAATCTTTATTTATGAATAACTTAAGTATACGATTACTTTCAGTTCCTATAATGAAAAATCAAAAACAGGTGAATCAGAGTGCTACGAATCTTGTAGCTGATGAATGTGAACCATGCCAAAAGATTAACGGAACATGTTATGATCAGAATAATGATGGGATAGCTGATGGATGCCAGTGTCCACCAAACAGATCATTCGGACATGTCGGTGACCGAAGAGAAAATGCACGCAATAAAGACAGATCAATGAATTTATTCAAATATAATGACAATCTACACTTCCCATGCGAGGTAGAACACAGTAAGTGTTCAATTTGAACGTTATTCGTGTTGGTTTTATGTTTCTAAAGAATATTTAATCTAAATATAAATACTAGTTAAATCAAACTCCATTAGATAGTCGAGAAGTGAAAGCACTGAATGTACATATGGACTACGAATATTTGCGAAAGAATTTTCTGGTTCTTTCTTAAATTCTCGGAAATACCAGGTTTTCTTTGAAAATTATGGTTTCATTTGGTAGGTTCCTTAAATCTGTTTGTCAGATTTGGGTTGTCATGACAGCGCCCTGACAAATATTGTTTTGATGGTCTTTATACTACTTTTTAGTAGCTGAAGACGCATTGTTGTTTTTTTTTTAAATTTTATTGCTAATGCGACGGATGAGCAGTGCTTTAACTAGTCGAAAATCCGTGAACCTGAAACGTTCTCGGTTTCATTAAAACTGTAGATATGCTGTGCAGAAAATAAGGCAGTGAATATTTGAAAAGTGACCATGAAAAGTAACAACTAAGTGGGTATAAACCAGTTCTCTTTATCAGGCAATTTTCATATCTTCTAAAAGGAAATTAATTTGGATCAAATAAATAAATTCACCTACGAAACTGTGCTAAATACATGAAACTCACGTTCTGATTACTACTGAAATCAGCACTCTTCATCTGTTACTCAAAGGAGTTCATTTTGAGGAAATCTTGGGATAACTGAAAATTTCCCTCAGTTTGTTTGTACAAGAATTGTCGATGAAAGGGTTATTTACCTTAGCCCAAGTAACTGATCCACTCGGACTTCTCGTTCACTAAAGGCTAATGGCTGGACTGAAAATATGATTTTCAAAGACCTTATGAAACTGACGGGAACCACCAAGTTAAGTGTGGAGAGAAATTATAGTTCTTGCAATGCCCTGCAAAACTGACATGAGGGAATCATCGGCGCATATTACGCGAAGTCCAAATTCAGAACAAAACAGTGCTATTTAGTGTATTAAAGTTAACAAGTCCCTATCAACATTGCTTGAAATCTTTTCCCTTATTATTGACTATCAAAGATTATACCAAACATTATGTTAACTTCTTGATGTTCATTAGTAAGACCCTTACCACCTAATTAGGTACGAGCTGTCTGGAAGGTTAATATGATAGACCATAGAGGGTTAAGAACCTTTCCGATGGCAAGACTACTGTCAAAAAACAACACATCACAAAGTAATAGTGAATTGAATTTCTCGATAGCTTAATACAACAACAAAACCTTTGCCGTGTTTCTCTGTAAGTCATTGTCACGTACAGATATTAAACACAAACGTGTATTGGGGTTTAGTTTTAATCTGATGACTGCAGATTTATGGAATCAAGTAAATGGTACTTATCTAAGCTAAATTATTTTGTATTATAATTTATTCAGAACGGCTACATCTCAGTTTCGAATTAGCCCATCCGGGAGGTAAAATGCTATCACAAATGTAAAACATACCATTCTTTGCCAGCACGTTTTGTGACTGAATTTCAACGGTAATCAGGAGCAAAAATCAAGTCGTAAAGTACAAGTTGCAACTTACTGCTCACTTTTTTTAACAGAATATATCGATGTTACTGGATCCTTAACCTCGCAATGAGTAAATATCAGTGAAATTTCTTTTTATTAGTTTATTTTATTGTTAACAAAGTGAAGCTGAGACCATTTTTGTGTATTTTGCTTATAGTTAAAACAGATTGCAATGAAGGCCAACTTACAATTTGTTATTTTATGCATACTTTGGGAAGATTCAAAGCACTGCCCTACCAAATTCGATTAAATATGACTTACGTCTCACTAGTACAACTGACTTATGCAGAAACAATAAGTAATACAGAGTCTTGCCTGCTAACGTCATCAACAAGGGACACACTGAATACACTGAATGATAATATAAGTTTTTCGTTTAAAAGCAATTGGCTTTGCACCACTATGCCCAATGATCAATCGTTCAGGAGGAGATGTGGCGTTGACGTGCACAATGAATCAGTATGTAGTAATCTTGTAAGCCTCATAATGCATAATGAATCTTAAATCAGTTTCACTATAAGTAAATTGTTTTCGCTATGTTTCACTCAAGCATAAACATAAGTATTTAATATCAAGTAAATGAGGCTGTTACTATACAAACGACTTTAAGTACTGATGTCAGCATTGTAAGGAATGATAGATACCATAGTTACTGTCTCTGAAACATTATCAATCAATGGTTTTTGACTCCTGATGAAAACAGTCATAAATTGAAACGAATAATTTAGATTTATTGACTTGTTCATTTAAGAAATTTCAGATGTTTTCAGTAATCTTTAGCATCCTATTTCTCCACTTCTCTTTTGTTTCGTTTTTATCTTCACATTAAAACATTTGTACGTGTGCGTCGGTGGCACAGTGGTTAGGACTCTCGCTGACCATCCACATGGTTCGAGGTTCGATCCCCCGCCGACGCACACCTGATATCTATGGTCGGCCTGCAAAATTTGGGCTACCGATATCAAATGCTGAAAATTTCATACTTGTACCAAAATACTGTGTGAAATCAAGCTATAAATAAAATTAAAATTAAATTAAAAATTAAATTGTGTTTACTTCCTTTTTTGTATTAGTGTAGATTGTGGCCACATATACTAATTCCCTTCAAAGTAAAATTCTACTGTGAAATTTGATATGGATATTCTCACTGTTAGAGCTAATTCAGTCCAATACGAACGGTGACGTAAATGAGTGATACTGAAGTATTCTTCATTTATTTCGATAAAGCGTATCTAGAAATTACTTTAGCAATTTATAACACATGGTTGTTATACTTAATATTACCATGAATGAAGAAAATATGTTACGGAAAATGTATAGAAACATTATAACAACTCTCATAAAATATCTTCACTAGCTTCACTACAAATTTTTATCCCTCTTACACTTGAAGGGAAATCAGTCATATACCCTAACGAACTTATGTTTTTCACTTAGCTCACTGTATATTGACTTCTTTCTTCAATCAAGTGACAAAAGTCGATCATTCTAATAAACACTTCTCTCCACAAATCACAAGTGAATGCGTCAGTTCGAATCGATCACTCCGTGTTTTGTATCACTCTAATCTGGCTAATGAAATGAAGAAATCCTTGTAATTGATAGACCGTATTGCCAGTATTTAATTATAAAATCTTCATGAAAACTAGTGTGCATCAGCTGATAAAAGGATTATGAGTGATCAATCGTAGACGCATAGCACATGAAAGACCTAACTTTTATCTAGCTAAAAAGCCTTCTACAGTAATATAAGCATACACACAATTTGTTCTGTGTAAAAACATACGAATTTACCTGGATTACAGTCTTGTAAAATGACATGAATATGTAACCAAATGTGACCTAAATACACAAATAAAATTGCATTCTAAAATATAATTGACTGAATGCCTATAGAGTAGTGGTGACATTAAATTAGTAATAGTAGTAGTAGTAGTATTAACTTTTTTCTAAAACTGTTCCACACGCTGAAATATTTCTCACACTTTAAGCTAATCATTCTGTGAACAACTCTTTCAATAACAAACAGATTTTCACTCACTAATATTCCGAATAGATTAGATAAGAATATACCTGATATAAGGTTATTGTTGCATTCACAGAATTTCTTCATAATAAGAAAGAATATTTTCCTAACTGTTTGAAATAATTGCTGCTAATATTTAGACACTGTATAAGTAGCGTTGAAGAAAAATGGAGAAAGTTATTGCTTAGTTACATAATTAGACTGAAATCAACACAGTAAATTGGTTGCTGAATCGAGATTGTTGAGAGGAACACAAATTTCTTGGCTAGAATTTACGAAGTGGTAATCGCCACAAATTCACTATATTTTGTATCCAAACGGCCAGTAGTACAATAGCCGCATATATTTTTCACACTTTTATAATTCTATCCTCTTAGTATAGTTATCTTATGGTTGTTTTTAATTCATACCTCAAAACAGTCATTGTGTATTTTGATGGTAAAAATGAGTGGTTCTGTCTAGTTAGTCAACTTTTCAGCTAGTATTGTATATTCAAGTGTCAGATATATGTTCCTTATGTAGTTAATTTGACTGATTTTCTCTGAACAGAATCGAAAGCATTTGCTTGTTGTTTACCTTTCCCTCTTAATATACACAAATGCTAACGCGCAGGTCATTTTAATGCATAATCACTGTTGATGTATGAACGTTATAGTGCACATCTTTTAGATGTAATTATCAGTATAAGGAAATAGTTTAGGTTAGCATTATTTTAAAATATTCTCATTATCTGGAAATAAATTAAAGTTATTCATTCACCATCTCGGAATGATTATTGTCAACCAATTGAAACATCATCTTTCCTGTTTATCCAAATGATGCATGTTTGACGACTGTTTTCCTTTGCATAAATTCAATGATAAACAAAGAAACTTTTCTGTTAATCATCTATTTCAATTTGTTTTTCTCAATAAACTGTTTTTATATGGGAAAATGTCCAACATTTAGTAGAATAAAAACCTATTTGATATCCACGCTTGTTTTTACATAGTCAGATAATGAGTTCAGATCGATGAGATTACCATGGTTTGACTCCAGTTTTATTATTTTGTTGTTGTTTGGAGGATAAAAGTAACAGTTTATCCGTGGTTTCCTCTGCTTTATTCAAAAACATTGATTTTTCACTATTTCTGATGCTAGCTAGTATTATTAGAAAATTACACTCACCCCATTTACTGGTTCCGTTTGTAGGCCGCCGATAAATAAACTGCCAACTGAGAGTCGGTAAGCGTATATTCAAATGAAAGCATCCAAAAGTTAGTTAAAGAAAGTCTGCATGAGCAACTTGACCGTAATTTATCAAGGGGAAACATATGTTCGAGTAAAATTCAGCTGATAACTGGAATAAAAGGCTCTAAATATTTCACTAGTGATTTTTTCATCATCCTTGCGTTCAGAGTGGAATACAGGACTTCGAGGTTTGAAGTTTCAGTAGCGTTTGCTGTTGATTTTACATGATGGAGTTGTTAGCCTGACTTCTCTCTTTTCCAGACTTACTACCGTTCAGTAAACTGAATAAGGTTCAGGAAATAGTCGGCCAGGGCTAGAACCACAGAGCATGTGTGCATTCTACCACTTAACCACAGACACACAAGTGAACAGTGTTCCCAGTACAGAGGCAACACTTAATTCATCTGCCGATAAATCCACAATGCAGGATGATACCTTTAAGAAAGGCACTATTATTATTTTCATGAGTTAATTTAGATGGATTTGGTTTGTTTCAGGATTTAATCACGGAGTGATATCCACCGGAAATCAGGGAGTACTGAACATCTGATTTGTCCTACATTGGGACTCATCACAGTGAGCACCCACTAGGATTCGAATCCGGGGCCTCATGGTGACAAAACAAGCTCTTAGAACATTCACACACTGCAGCCTAACTCAATGGCTTAGTGGCTGAACGGTCTACCAGCATGCCTTGTAGTCATAAGGTCCTGCTTTCGAGCCGCCTAGGAGTCCCAAACTAGGACGAAACGGATGTCCGTCATTCTTTGGTTTTCAGTTATTAAAAATTTTTATTAAATAAACAACTGACACCAATCCTATTTGTCAATAAAACCAACTGCATAGCTAAACCACATTTACTATTATCTTTATAGAATGATATACAAAATATCCATTATTCTGGTAATGTGTATATCCGTCAAGTGAATAAAAACTATGAGAATGATAAGACATTACTTGAAATACCATGGAGATGTACAACTAAAACAATGTGCAAATCACAAAAGTGAGTCGTTAACGTGATTTAATTATAGAATCTATCCAAATAACCTATATACGTTGTGACTTACGTTTACTTTTTTTAGAGTGTAATTTTCTGTTAACACTTTAGCCTTTTCCTGATGGTAAAAAGACTGACATCTATCTATCTATCTAACCTATTAAATTGTAGGATTCTAAAAGTGAAATTTCTTGGATAAGCAGGTATATATATACCTGTGTAAAATTTAGAATTCAAGAAACTGATACATCATATTTCCACAACCATGATAAAATTTGAAACAACTTTGAAGGAAATCTAATCACCGCAATTCAATCTTCAGACCTAATAGTTTAATGGTAGATTTAAAAAAAGCAGTCACAAAAGAAATTTTAACTTTACTCAGAGGAATTAATGCCCAGTTTTCATATGAATGAGCTATACTCGAATTAATTGTTAGCCGCCATACTTAATGTCTGACCACAACCTGTAACACCAATCTGAAATGAACTAATTTTGAAAATTAATTTACTGATTACCGATTATTCTGTCTCCGGTAGTTCTAGACGGCTGATGGGTATGAATGATTGAAGTTATGACTATAAGTTTAAATACTATTCTTAGTAGAAGAGCAACATCCTTGAATACTAACTCCGATTTGGAAAGCATATATATATATAGTTTTTAATGCAATGCATAGCATTTTACCAATCAAGTGGCGATATATTTCTTAGCAATAATTAGTCAGTATCAGCATGTCGAGGGGTGATATTCAACGTAGAGAATTAATGCACACAATTAAAGTGTAGGAATGGTTACAACGATTGGATTTTATAATGCATAATTTTGGAAAAATGAAGAGTTATTAGGGAATATGCGAGTGTTCGGATTGACTACATAACAGAAAATGGTAATTTGTAATTAAAGATGAAGTAGTCATAAGAACAAAGTAATTTAGACAGTTATAACTTTTAAAGGTTTATGAGGAGGGAAGGGTTAATTAGTCCTGTCGAACTATGACTTTTCCAACGACAATCTTCTTTACGCTTGTGCAGTTTTGGTTCATTTAAAAGTTATTTACTTCATTAGCTGGCATTGACTTGATAACCATTAGAAACCAGGAAATACTAAAAACATTTTGCGATCCACCCTTGGACTTTTCAGTGATCTAAGACCTAGGATATGCAGCATAATACTGCAACACTGTCACGGCACCAGTGCATCTGTATCAAGCTGTAAATCTTGGACAAATTTGTCAGTAATGGGTGTCACATTTTACTTCACTCAGTTGAATCAAACAACTGGATCAAGCCCCACTTATGCAGCTTTGTACAATTATATAGTATTATAATTTAATTAGATAGAAAAGAGCAGGAAGTTCAGCAGATATGTCTTTCAGGTGACTTGATTCTCAGACGTCGTACAGTCGCATTTATATACATAGATACAACTGCTGAATTTCACAGGAAAACGAAGAGGATTAAAGGTGATAATAATTCTCAACTTGATATAAAAATTCAAAGGCCCTAAAGTGGATTACAAGGAGCTTGTAAACAACGCTGCTCATTATCACAATGCAATTGCGTAATATATTTAAAATAGCTATTAACGAAGACAAGTATTAATACGATGAGCATGGAAACAGAGTGAAGTAATATTTTTTATAACCGAAAATGAAAAGAAATTTTGGAGAAGTGAAAAAAACAAAAAAACAACTAAAAATGTAAACTAAGGGGTGAAACTGAACTGGATCCATGATAAATGTGGAGGTTAGATTAATTTCTTTTGAACACACAGCTTTGGCTTTTCGATGCTTATGATGATGGCTTCGGCAGCACAAAGAAGTTGGAAACACACTGCCTTTGGTAAATTTTTAGCTACTTTGTAAACAACAATGAATAATGAATCAGCTGGGGTGCTGTGACGGGTGTTGACGAAGTTTTCATTTATGGCGCTTCTGACTGAACCAGCGCTTCCTCTTCTTAGACATTCTGGACAATGCTTCTTAACACGTTTTGAAAGGATGAATGTAGAACGACCTATGTCTCTGGCTCGTCAGAAGAAGGTAAATTGTTATGTGTATATTGGAGTGGTCGTATGTGGGAGTTTGTCCTTCACATGGTCTAAAAGTAGTGGATGGCGTAAGGAGGATGAAATAGCCAAAAAGATACCTATACTGACCTTCTTGTGTTTTTCTCTCTAATGTCCTGAAAAATATTTTTCAGGATTACTAGTTCACACAACAGGTATGTCTTACTGCCAAGTGCATGAACCTGCAAGTAACTTTGGAGTAATATTTCATTGTCATTAATTATCAACCAGTTATCAGTTGGTCACCACAATCTTGCATTACTTAATTACATGAATGAAAATATTTTATGAGAACTTTGTAGTCTTTTAAATCGAACAAAATTGGAAGTAGGTTAACAATCTGAAATAAGTGGATGACCCTCCTCAGATTCAATTTCATAAATATCAACACAGACAGATCCCTGACAACATTTTAGGCTTAAACAGTGGATGAAACAAATTAAATTTCAAAAGTTTTCTACAACTCCATTTACACTTCTTTCCTCTATATATTAAACGAAACCTAATCCGTTCATTAAGCCACAGAATACGCAGAATTTTCAGCCTGGACGCCATAGAAGATGAAACGAACACTTAAGAAAATCCTCCTTGAAAATGGCTATCCAGAAAGATTTATCACAAAATCAATGAAACCCAGACCAGAGAAGCCGCGTACACCCAGTGCTCCAAAAAGACTTCTCTATATGAACCTACAGTTCAATGGAGACCAATCTACAGAAATACTGAGAAATCGGCTCTCCCGCTCACTGAAGAAAACCTTCTCTGCAGCTGAATTACGACTGACGTTCTCCACGAGACCAATGATTCGCATGAACGTGAAGGATAAGCTACCGCTGTTGGCCTCATCTATGTGCATCTACCAATTCACCTGCTTGTGTGGAGCCAGGTATATCGGCCTCTACTCAGCGTTCGCTATCCAAACGCGTCAACGAACATTTACTTTCATGGTTTCATGAAGGAGAAAACCGATGCCCACGCAGCTCGATCCTTGAACATTTGATCGTCTCTGGACACCAAGTCAAACCAGAGATAAACTTCAAAGTTATCTACAGAATACAAGGCAATCTTGCTAAACATGTATGGATCAAACTTCTCCACATCGCAGAAGTAATGGCAATTCATCTGCTAAATCCTGAACTCTGCATACAAAAGAAATTCGTTCATTCATTAAATCTACAATGGACGTAATCTTTCTTAATTTCAGTCTTACTAATTGTATTATTTTGTCTTTCGCATTTTATTATTTCACATCTTCATTTGTATTATTCTCTACCCCATCCTTTTGTAATCTCTACCTTCATTAACAATGTTGCTAACTTGACCCTCGTGCAATTTCTAGTCAACTGTGTTACGTCATCCGATTAACTTACTTATTTTCAACTGCATTATTCTCTACCCCCACCCTTATTTAATTTTAACCACCACTCATTAACACTGTTGCCAACCTGACCTACTCTGAATTCTACTCAATTGTATTACATCATCCAATCCACTTAATCAGTTCTATTTTATTTTCTATCTTAACGTTTGTTTCCAAGCCAAATAATACTTATATTATGTAAATGTCTAAACTTTATAAATCTAATGTACACACACACAAACAAAGTTGTATAAATATGCGATTGTACAGCTCAGTGAATGAATTCGCCGAAAAGAGTCTCTTCGCTGAACGCCTTCTTTTCTTTTATATTGTTTTATAATTGAATTGAAATCAAAAATGTTTTAAAAATGTCAAGTGTTGTCTAAAAATTTTAAAAAATTAGGAGTACGATTACGATAAGAATGAAGATGTGAAGTGAAGTGGAAAGAATTCAAATGGTAAAATAAAATAAAGTAAAAACTAGAAAGAACATTACTATGACCAAGGTAAAGAAAGGGGTTTGACAAAACGTTTTTGAACACATAATTTAGGTTTCTGTTCGTGTATAGCTAAAGCTTCGGCTATGCATAAGTGAAGAAAACGTAAACTTTTGGATCGATGGTTATCCTACAAGGTTTATCGAACGTAACATCAAGAAAGAACATGCCCCCAGACAAATTACAGTGCCAAAGAAGAAACTGTTTATGAGTCTGGCATTCAAAGGTGACACCATTTCGGAATTGATTAAAAATCGTTTATCTAAATGTATTAAACGTACTTTTCCTGCAGCTGACTTACAACTAGTTTTCACCAGCCAAAATATAATTAGACAATTCGTCAAGGATAGATTACCGCTTTTGTTCACATCCATGTGTATTTACTCTTTTACCTGCTCTTGTGGAGCTGTTTATATTGGACGTTGTAAGCGTAATCTCCGAAAACGTGTAGCTGAACACTATCCAGTCTGGCTAATGAAAGGCGAACGTAGAACTGCGAAGTTGTCTATCTGTGATCACCTGTTAGAGTCAGGTCATTTAGCCCCACGTGATTCATCTTTCAAAGTTATCTACATGGCAAAATCGAATCGATCCAAAAGTTTACGTTTTCTTCACTTATGCATAGCCGAAGCTTTAGCTATACACGAACAGAAACCTAAATTATGTGTTCAAAAACGTTTTGTCAAACCCCTTTCTTTACCTTGGTCATAGTAATGTTCTTTCTAGTTTTTACTTTATTTTATTTTACCATTTGAATTCTTTCCACTTCACTTCACATCTTCATTCTTATCGTAATCGTACTCCTAATTTTTTAAAATTTTTAGACAACACTTGACATTTTTAAAACATTTTTGATTTCAATTCACTTATAAAACAATCTTTAATAATTTTGTAATTTATCCACTTCAACTCTACCCCTTATAACATTTTAATTATCGTTATTCTTATCACATATATGTATATTTTCTTTTATATGACTGAATGGGGATTTTTAAGTTACTAAATTAATATTCAACAATTTCAGTAGACAGTTAACAGATATTTTGTATTAAAAAATCTTTAGGTTGTTTTGTCTTAGCTTGTACTCACACTTATATCTGTGAATATATTATTTATATTCTAAAGAAAACTAACCAAAGAAGTGGCATCGCAATCAAATGAATACAATTTGGAACAGTTATCCGTCTTGAACAGCAATAATGAATTGGTTACAGAAATGAATGAAGGCGAACTGGTGCATTTACAGCTTGTGTCTAATTATAAAATAGGTGAGTTGTGTTGACTAGTCTATCCATTCTAGTATGCAAATATACTAAAATGATCTTCGGTTAGCAAAAACCACTTATTTTTACCATTGGGTATTAAGACGAAAATTCACTAACTTCTATGTTTATAACCTAATATATCCCATATTAACAATCTTTGGGTCAGAGAACAGTAACGTATCAAGTGTGGGTATTCTCCAATGTCCACAGGTTACTAATGAGAAATCAGTAGAGTGATTGAGGATCTATAAGGTTATACGGTTAAAAGAATGAATTCGTAAAAATTCAGATTTTCACAGGTCGAGTGACAAATTATGTTGATTATTTCAAAATGGGAGTAATAGTCAGTTACTCAGTTTCTCAGAGGAGTAAGTCGTTAGCTAAGATTATATGAGTAAATATAAAACAGAATAAAAGACAATTCAGTAAAGAAATTTTTTATGGACGAAATCATCTTTAGAAGCTATTTATCAAAGATAATTTTCTTCGTTGAATCGTCTTTTATTTTCTTCATGATTCAATGAGTATTTTAAGTGTTTCGAGAAATAAAACAGTTGTAGGTACTAATATGAAATAGGAATGAAGTGGATCAATTAGGCTTAAATATTCAAAGTATCCCACTAAGGTTAACTTCTCAGACCCTTGTTTAGTACTAAAATGAGACTTTATTTATTGCATCACTCTAGTTTCAGAAAAATTCAATTGAGTAGAATTTTACTACTTATTGATATTCTCTAGTGTATTTGTAATATCAACGTTATATTTCGCATCCAATATGTGAGACTAAAAATAATACATGTTCTCGAATGTGTTCATGAGCAGCTAACAGTTCCTCTGTCTTTTTAGTCTCCTGTTATTTGAAAAAAAATATACACACTGGTATACAAACTTTGAGATTAAAAGGGACAGAGTTTTATGTAACTCACCTGGTATTATTGAACACTTTACCTTATACAGTGTAATAGATTTGACAGTAAGAAAAGTGCATCTCTATGGTATTGACTAAATTCATTGAAGATTTTGTCTCAACTGAAGACTATTGAAATACAAGTAGCCATTCTAATTAATCTGCTGGACAGAAATTCTTTAACATAATGTAGTTTTCCGACCAGTAATAGTACGCGATTGGGTCAAAGCTGTAAAGGTTACGATTATATTCAGTGTAAATGTACTTACAACATATTTTTCACTTTTTATGTTACTTTAAAGTAAACATTTTATCAAGAACTCCTAAGTGTTATGTTATAACGATGAACCAGTTGCATAGACCTATCTGGCATAGAATTCTGTTTCTTTTATTACATTTATTAGGATTTTTGTTTCATGAGATAGAAAGGTATACTATTAACTGTAAGCCTTGATGGTTTGCTCATAGCTACACCGTAGGTTCGGAAATCTACTTTATTACTGAACTGCAGATGAACATTTGTGGCGCACATCATCTTTAACGATTCCTGTTTAATTTTGACTATGTATATATGTACATTGTAATAGAAAAAACATCTGGTAATCGATAACACGATCATTTCTATCTAGCTAAGCAGTACATGTACATGCTAAAATAAAACAATAACCATTCACATTTCACATTGTCTAATAGTTATTTAGAAAAATGAAAAAAAATGTTTTGGCCAACACAACCATCCATATGTGTTAGTTGGAATTTTCCTAATGAAAAGAAGACATTCGTGTTTGGCTCTGTAGATAAAGAAACGATTTACAACCTACATCTCTGTTTACAGATTTATGCGCATAAAGTTAAGCATTTTAAAGCCTATTGATTTCTCTCCTAAAAGCTTACCAGATAACCGAATGTGTGATGGCTGTTTGCAGTTGTATTTAAAAACGACCGAATACTAGCAGAGCGGACTATAACATCTAATACACAGAAGTCATTAATACGAATTCTAAAGAATAATAAACATTATACATTCTCAATAAATTGAAAAAAATGCTGGTGAACATTTAAATAGTGTAATAACAAGCACATTTATTTATCGTAGAATGATCTAAATTTTTCTCTTAAATATTTTTATCCTGAAGAATATAAGAAAATCATGTGAAATAGTGCATTTTACTATAGTTTTGCACTAAAAATATATCAACATTTGAGATACTTAGTATGTGAAGTAGAGTTTTTTACAATAAAGGTAGAAGTAACCAGCTACAGTTTAGTCACAGACAATTTTTAGGTAGACAGTAAAGTTAGAGTATTGAACTTGACATTCTCATTAATAAATAGCTCGGGATAGTTACAGGTAAGGGGAATGGCATAAAACGGAACTATTCCTCGTCATTCAGTTAACGGTCCGTCATCAATAAATATAATTTGTGTATATTATTTCGCTAAACATGTATTTCACAAATTAGTTATTTAACTGTGCATGAAGATAAGAATGTTGTATTAACTCCATTATGGATAAGATTTTATTTTGATAAATCACACAGTGTTGTACAGTAATATTTACTGATGATGTTTCGAGCACAAATAATTGATATAATTATGGGCAATAATTTGTACTCGAAACGTCATCAATTAATATTACTGTACAACACTGTGGGATTTATCAAAATAAAATCTTATCCATAATGAAGTTATATTCTACCACAGTGCCCAAGTTTTATACTTATATCAGTGTTGTATTAAATCTTGATGAAGTAGCTTAATGGTCAGTAATAACACTATGGTTACACAATATTTTATTTTTAGTTGTCATAAGCACAGAGATGTGTGTTTCTGCCAGCTTGAAGTATCCTGAAAACCTTATTCGGAAGGTGTCAATCTCTTCATTTCTACATCGCGCGTTTTATCACTTCAAGTAAGTTGGTACAGTTTTATGTACATATATATATATATATATATATATATAATATTCATATTTGTTTACAGACCTTGGTAGATTATAATTTAATACATGAACACTACATAAAAATGATTTTCATACAGATAAATGTGACTACATTATTCTGGAAAACAAACAGCATCTTGCTATACAATGCAAAATCCTAGGAGAAAACCGAATTTTGTGTTGAATAATTGGATGTTAGGTATACTGGGTAAAATTTACTACAATCTGAAATTAGCAGTACACATGTAAATATTTGACTACGGTATTCAATGAGAGGCGTTACTCTAGTCTAGTATCTTAGAAGTTAATCGAAACATTATATTTTGGTATTTGCAATGGTGGTGGTTGAGGTATTTTCGTAATTTGAATAACTATGAGTCTCTAAAACGACAGAGACATATCATTTTATTGAACAGCAGTGCGTACATAAACTTAGCATGTAATATTGTGTTAAATGCATTCAAAACATTCGACGAGTTAAATAATATTAAAATTAGGGTGTTGTGTCTTGGCAAATGTTGATAAAATGACTTGAAAAGCTTTAGAGTCCTTTAATTAGTGTTACTGGAATAACATATTTATTTCCTTCTATTTTCATCCAGTCGTTGAATGAAACATCTGATGGGTAAGCATATGCCTTTAGGAAATTTGGTTTATATTTCAAAACTGATGCGCACGTAGGCCTTAAAAGCAATCAGTCAGTAAGTCTATAGATCAAGATATACCCCCACCTATCTCAGCCTGTCCCTTATATCAAACCACACAACCAAGAGCAATGATAAAATTTTTTTGTTTTCTTTATTTGACAGTGAACACTCATTGAGAGTATCACTCCATTATGGATAAGATTTTATTTTGATTAATCACACAGTGTTGTACAGTAATATTAACTTATATTGAGAGTATCACTTTGTTTCCATCGAATCTACTGTTATTTAAATAGCATATAATCAAGCCGCATCATCCCGGAAAAACTAAAAAATGCCCTAGATGAAAAAATCCTCCAGGAATACATTGTAAATATGTCATGCGCCGATCAAATAACAAAAATTGACAAGAATGTCAGTCGATTCTTTACCTCAACTTTGTTGACTTTAAAAACGACTTCGGTAGCACTAACTGGGAAGAAATCAGGAAACTGCCTCAACAGTACGGAATGACGCAAACATTTGTGTACTTTATTCAGTAATTATATGGTGATGCCACTTACCAAGTAATTTACAACAGAAAGCTCATCGAAGCGTTTGGAATGAAGACAGGAATAAGATAATGATGCCTACTGTCACCAGTGATCTTCCTGGTTTTAGTGGATTACGTCATGCAACAGGTGGTGGGGAGTGAAAAGGTGGAGATACAGTGGACTGATAAAAAGACTCTAGAAAATCTGGATTTCGCAGATGATTCGTGTTTTACGCCAAATAAGATCAAAGATTTACATGCTTAAATCAACAAGCTGACACAAGAGACAGTAAAGACAGGATTTCAGACGAACAAACAGAAGACAGAGGTGATAGGGATACATGACTGAAAACATCAACGAACACCAATTATCATAAGCTGGAGAAATCTAAAGAATGTCATTGATATAAGAATAAAACTTTTGCACTGTGGGAGAATGTAATTCAATTATGGTTAAATTTTGTTTTGATAAAGTCTCACAGTGTTATACAGTAATGTTTACTAATGACGTTTCGAGCATAATTTATTGCCCATAATCATAGCCTTGATATGATTATCAAAACAAAATTTACCCATAATGGAACTAAAGAATGTCATACTTTTCAGCTACCTAACCGGCATCGTTTCAACTACATACAGGCGACATGAACAACAGTGTCAGAGCCTGTCAGTGTCGAGAAGGAAAGCGAGGTAGTCGTTTATTACTTTGAAATCAGTGTTGAGATCTATAGTATCCAATACCAGAAACAATATCCGCATTTTTAACACAAACGTTAAGTCAGTAGTTGTACATGGAAGCCAGTTAAGATGCAAATCAGAAAACAGAGTACAATGGAAATGTGCTACTGAAACCGTATATTCTACTTGTGACCCAAGAAAGGTATAATGAGTCATCAAACGTGAGGCTTAGGCAACTGTATTTACTACCAAAGAATACAATTCAATACTGTCAATGAGTATTCTTTTTCTTCGTGAGCAGGATAAGAAAGTCTGAAATTATCATTCTTGGGACACTTTTCAAAAAGACAAAGCTTTCGTTTCCTCTGAGTTATAAGTGTTTTTAGAATTATCACGAAGAAATCTGACTATCTGCTTTTAAATCATGACTGAAAACTGTTTCATAGAAATAGTAGTGAACGACTAAAACTTTTGGTGAGAATAGAAATCATTATAAAGATAGGCTAAGACTATGTTATATTTATGTTGAAATGTTCGCACAAATATTTAGCATACATACATCTTTTAGTCATCTCTTCCTAGACTGAAATAGTTATCCAGAAATATTTTTATATATCGGAAAAGTTATCTTTGGACTGAGATAAACAACCTTTCAGTATGGTAGTCTGTGGGAATTTATTTGATATTACTTACAAAACTAAACAGGTGGTTGACCTAGTCTCTGTACAACACAACTAGCTTTTAGATGAACGTTACGCTTTCATAATATACAACAGTATGTGTGTGTAATGGTCCCTCAAAGTTCAAAATTTTTACCACAGGTTGGAATGTCAGAAGGGAAATAAATTTTCCTAAAAAAGGGCATACTTTCAACTGATGAGTGCAAAAGATAACAAAAACTAAGATCCAAGCTTCCCGCCTAACAATTTCAAATCATTCTAAGGTTAATTTTTGCTACAATTGGCTACTGTGACGAGGTCGATCACTCTGTGGTTGAAGGTCTTACAATAAGGATAAGGAATGAAAACAGCCTATTGGATACTCTTGTGGAGTTTAACCTGTTGGAAGAATAAATTCTTGTAAACCGAAAACGGAAACATTACATGGGATGGTTAGTGAATTCTGGAGTGCATGAACATATATTGAAAACACAAATTTGGTCTACTACTAATACCTCATCAGTCATTCTTCATAGTACTTATGAAAAAACACATCCAAAGACTGTTATAAAAAGCGGGTTGAAAATTAGTTTATGAGGGGAAATTTGGATGTCTTCAATGTTAATCTCTGTCTTACTTGTTGGCTATCAGAAATGAGTAACTGAATGTAGTTAAACTTTCTGGAAAGCAAATATTAACTCGAATTCTTTTAGTTAGATTGAACGCATTACTGACTATATTTTATTAGTGATGCTTTTAAGAAAAATTGGTACTATTTAGAAATAAGATTAGACTTTTATCTGGTGATTATCATCTTCATAGGGATTTCTGTATATTCCAGTAGATGTGTTACTCTTTCAAATTTGATTTTTGCTTGACATACCTTTTGAAGTGATCTCTTTTACTGTTTGGCATCGAATAAGTGCAGAAAGACCTGAAGTCATAGCGTCATGAAAGGTTGTTCATAACGTATTAGAAGTTAGAAGGAAGTTTAATTAATACGAAACAGTAATATTTTCACAATAACGTTTTACTAATGCTCAGTCCTTCATAATAAAATCATTTCTTATTAAGGATATACTACAAAATATAAAGTGATTCGATACTGATAACATTAGATAGTATCTGTCCAACTAACAGAAAGGTTAAAAGTTTCCACTTTTCACCCTCTGCTTCCATTTATGCATCCATCGTAAGCTCACGCAAATAATTCATTGAACAAGTATTGCCTTTAAAAGAAATATAAGCATCATGAAGACCAGTTAACACAAATCAGTTCACTGCCGACAAGAAATTCCAGATGAAACACCAAAAGTAGTTTGGAATCAAAAGTAATATAAATACTTTTGCTAACTTTCTAGTCTCATCATTAGGAAACTTAGAAACCACAGGAAATTGGATACCATCATAGAAACGTATGTTTAGCTTTAATTAATTGTGGAATGCTAAGGATGTTCAAATTATAAATAAACTGCTTTAGGTAAGGAAAAACAAGCTCAGATTACAGATTATTCATCGTGCTAGACCGAATGTTGGGAAGTTCCACTGCAAACTAACAATTATTTTAGCAGATATATCAATGATAATTTATCCTTTATACCAAATTATATTTATCACTCATTTCAGAGGTTGAAATTATGTGTTCCTGGTATAGAAAACTAAAATAACCGCCTCCTTTGGCAAATGTTACCATATTACCACTTGATAAATCTTAATATAATTTTCGTAGTAGCCTGCACAGAAATAATGCATTATGTTTTAGCCCTATCCATGAGTTATAAACTGTATGCCTTCTCCAGCCACTACTGAATAACACAATCACCTTCATTCATAGAACAGTTAGAATTACCGAGAAAGTCACAATGTCAATGGAAAAGTGGAAAACTAAATCGAAACAGCTTTAAAATAAGTAGGACATGATGCAGAATAAACGAAGGTTTTAATATATTCAGAATTTTGAAAACATGAAACCATCTGATTCATCATAGTTTATTTTGAGTTGTTTTACGGAGGACATGTAACAGTCGGAAGCCAATGTGGTGAGGATACTCAATTAGTTCGGCTTTATTGTTTGGTAAAATTCAGGTTAGTATTAGATGAACTTACCAATCACTTCAGTTGTTTAGTATTGTAGTTCTTGACTTCTTTTCTTTTACCTCAACTCTAGCTAACAATGTATGTCAATGTAAACAGCCGATTTTTATGCAAAACATATGGCAGATAACATACCTGTTTTAGGGTACGCAAACGTGTTTGCTCGCTTACTTTCAGTGTCCAAAAATTTTTCTTTTGCTTCCTCCTTACCACTACGTATAAATATATATATATATGTTGCCTTGGTGGCGTAGAGTTAGAATGCTCGCCAGCATATTAGATGGTCCGGGGTCCGATCCCCGGACCGACGCACTGCTAAATCTCGCTTAGTCAGTAATAAGTCAGGCAAAGACAGAAGGTTGGGCGCGAGAATAGCAATCGCACACCGTAAAAATAAAAACCACTGCTCAGGAAACTTCAAAGGTTTAGCTTGAAGCCCTATGTTCCACTGAGAACACAAAGGAATATATTTATATATTATCTGCTATTTAACTTACACTTGAAACTGTGCCATTTTTGTTATGTACTTATCAAAAAAATTCCCTCACTTTTTAGATGTCATGCAACAGATGAACAAATGCTTGCTTCATATAATAACCAAACGATAGTTGTCAGTGATCTTATTACTGACAACGAGAACAGAACTAGTTCGCATAACCAGAGAAATGAAGAGTTCTTCGTTCATCAGATTATTGCACAACAAAATGTTGTGTATTACATTTGTCTAATCCCTTCATTAAACGATTCAGTGAATGGTTATTTTGAAAACGCGCTACGGGTAAGTGTTACATGATAATAGATAGGCATGTTGTATAACCACACAGACATAATGAATTATGATGATTTTGATGTCAATAAAAAATAGATTTAACTTTGATGGATTTCTGACATCAGATATTTATATTACTGATTAAAGACATTAAGTCAATCTATTGATTCAGTGGAGAATTCACTACATTTATCCGTTGAAGCATTCCTACGCACAATACAATTGTAAATTCTTAATTTAATTGCCATCAGAAATACCAGAGCTTTCTGAAATGCGTAAAGTACAACCAGATGATGATGCCTAAAGAATACCAAAGATGATACTTGTCCAAATACCATCGTGTGATCATAGCAACACAATGATTACCTACAGCCATTGTTCAGTAATTTACTATCCAATTGAGACTAACAAATGAATGAAAAGGAACTTGTAAAGTAACAAAACAATTTTTTATGCATTATAAAAAACTATGAAAAGGTGTAATGTTAAGTACTTATAAAGCTAACCATGGATACCAAGAATAAAAGAATTGGATTCTGTAAATAACAGTTAACTCTGTAAGGCGAAACTATAATAGGAAATAACCTTAATGAAGCAAAAAAACTTCCCTTTCATTCACTTTACGCATTTGGGTGTTATTCTGCAATGCTTTCGTGTGACAATAAAACACGGACTGAAACGAAACCGTTTCATTTATTCAATGAGAGTTTATCACATGAAAGCTTACCTGTATTGTAATAAGTATGTAAGGTCATTCTCAAGGTCAACCTGTGGAACTCACCTTAGTTGTATTCTTCAAGTAAGATATGTGAACACTGTTTGAAGAGGCTAAACTAAGATTTTTAAATCATCTGGTTAGAAGAACAGTAGATATCGTCTTTCTGCCAGTTTGTTTTATTTACCTAGATGATTACTTGTGATAATTTTGAATAAATAAGAAAATATACACAGAAATCGGATAAAATGAGTATTTATAGGGGTAACTCGATGTATTATTTACAGGAACACATAAGATTCAGTTATTCGGATCAATGTAACTGAAAACATTTTATCCGATCAACCTCTGTTTATCTGGGAAATAATTTAGCACCTGCAGGTAAATAGTGATAAACAAAATTTAGGGAAGACTAAAAAAGATTACTTGGTTCCGCTCCGAAGCAAAATTTTATAGAGGTAGGTAGAAATATTCCAGTTATAAATCTACAACATAGAATTTGTAATCTGTCTAAAGACTACCTATTTTAATCTTGACAGATATATATATATATTTCACTGGAAAGCATTACAAATTTGTATGAGTTGATTATTGTTGGAATAACTGTTCAAAACATCTTTCCCGCTGACTAACACTTTATACCTAAAAGGCTGAAGTTCAGAGGCAATCTAATAAACTGCCACAGTATAATTCAGTGCTTACTTCACTGTGTCTATTCATGATAGCTAGATTACACACGTAAAAATTGTCTACTGTTTTAATAGTTCAGCCCTCTTCAATCTGAAGTAGGGCGATGGTTTAGCAGTATTCTGACCAAAGTATCACATTAATTATTTCTGCAGTCTATGATTTCTGTGATATTTGCCATTCGGTTAATAATTCACTTTTTTTTTAAACTTGGTCTTTATTTGTGTTAACTTCGCAAGGGTGACCATTTTTTTCAGCTGATTTTCATTCCTTGTTAACTATCATTCGCTACAAGTACCTGTTTAGTTAGATTTGCCCATTGTTTATGAATGCTCGCTAATATCAGGCTTCTGAAGATTTTCTGTTGTTTAGGAAACTTGCTTATCCAAGCATCGTGTTGTTTTCTCAGGCCATGGCTTTCAGATTACCTACATAAAATTAAACTGATTCCTCCCAATGATAGGAAATTTGTGTTTCATAGCTACAATGGGAGCAGATTGGATCCTACTTCTTAGTGTCTAATAAATGTTTATAAGATCCTAAAATCTGTCTCAAACACATTGGAATGACTTTCCATGCAGCTATATCTTCTGTCCAATGCATTATACCTGGCTTGAATTTCATCGAACGAGTCACACGATTTCAACAGAATTTATGCTGTTTCTATATTGGCACACAGTGGTACAGTATTATTTGTATACTGAAAGGGTGCTTCAGACGCAATTTAGTAATCACAGCCAAACAATGATACGAGTGTAATTTAAAACAGTAACTGCGTAATATAAAATCGTTTAAGAATGAAGGAATGCAGACTTCAGTGTGCTCCATATCAGTTACTGGCTTTTTGCTAAAATTATGGAGTTAGAATAGTTTTTAAAGTAAATTCATATTCAGATGGGCGTTTATTTATTGACACAAAATTTGTTTCTTTATATAACAGTCTTCTTTTAATATCAGCTTTGATGTAAGAGACTGATACGACTTGAACACGTGAAGATTATCAGTACGTATTAAGGGTTAAATATGTTTGATTGTGATGGTAAACGTCAGTTATCTTTGAATATTATTACCCTAGAATCACATTCGGATTGTACTTATTGAACAGCGACTGATGTCGCCATCGTTGAATTTGACGATTATACAAATAATACTAAAAGTCTTTTGAAATATTTGCATCGGAATACTTTGATACAGTTATATGTTGGCACATAACCGTAAGCAACAGTTCACCGGGTATTGAACTATGATGAAAGCTATCTCCAAAACAACATTTACCTGGGGTTAAAGGAGTGATTTTAATCACTTAGAGCTCCAAAGAAAAGTTGACAACATTTTTAAAGAAAGTAGGTTGACACTGTGATGAAAAATGTTGGAAGGATATCCATTTTGTTTTTCAAGAGAAAGTTTACTTTTTACTAGGATAATATCTTCGAGGCAGTTCTTACATTTAATTTCATTGTTACATTATTCAAAGATGCATACGTTTCAACTTATTTTCATGTACTCACCCTGTTGGTGTTTTCAAAATAAAATCTATTTTATGGGTAAGACACTCACACATACAGCTTGAGGGAAAATTGTGTTTTTTTTTCCCTGTACATTGTTTCTTAAAGAATGTTCGATACAAAAAAGCAACACCAATGATCAATTTGTGCATTCTGACTGAATTTTCCTGTCATGTTTCTTCATAAAGCTTTATATAAGATTTTACCCACTTCGAAAATCATAAATTCCAGAGGTGATACTTTTAAATTTCTTCAAAGTTTTTTTCGTTCAGCTTCAGTCCTGAATCTTCGTCTTAGTTCTTATTATCCTATGATTAACAGCTGACAACTTGCTTTCCCTGTCCAGTTCAACATGGTTAAAAGTGAGATGTAAAAACTGACGTAACGCATAGCCAAGTGCCACTCATTGGTACAGCAACTGAGAAAATACCTGGTAACCACAGTGAAGTGAAGACATGATCAGAGGCTTGGTCTCATAGTTCGAGTTGGTTATTAGTTTTGGAAATTTTTTGTGTGTTCCTAGGACGTAAGTTTCGATTTCACTTTCCACCAACGTAGAACACATTGGGAATCAGACATTACTGAAATCTCAGGTGCCCAGTTTCTCAATAAACTTCCCTCATTGAGCATTCTGTTTTCGATTAAGTCTCAAATAGTCGTAGTAATCATAAAGCCTCTATCAATTTAGTTATCGAAACCACTTCTATGAAATGCCAGTAATCCATAGCATCTGTCTCAAAGACGAGATATGTAGTCATTAAAAGCTTCGATCTCGTGGAATTTCCCTCTTAATCGTAGTTTTACTACTAAAATCTCAATTTCAACCATCATGCCTTCACATATGTTCTCATATGTAAGAGGAAAATTAAAAAATTAGTTTTATGATTTAAATTCGTCCAAAATTTAGTTTACTGATTAAGGATATTAGAAATAATTGAATTTTATAAATTTGAATTTCTAACCTAACCTAATTCACCAATTAAACGACATGAAACAAAGTTAAGAAAAGTATTCGGAACCCTTAGTAATGCTTTAATCTAAACATAAGATTTGATGATAATTTTGCTTGTGAACCTCACAGTAGGGAAGTAGAGTTACAGGGAAATGCTAACTGACTGGCTGACGTTATCAGGATACTAGAAATCAATGTTTGTAGACTACTACTAGTGAAATGCCTTGAAAGTTTTCTGAATCGTGCAGATGTACTCACTCCTTCTTAACTTCTAGATCCAAAACATTTTCGCCTACCTTCATTTGGTTACTATTTCTCTTCTCTGCTTTTATATATGTTTTTTTAGTTTATGACAAATTGAACTGCTGCACCTTCAATTCAGGTAAATAGATACTGATGATACTAAACACATGAGTATTAAACAAGCAATATGTTTGTTTTTTATTGACTGATAGACTAAAAATTGTTCAGGATCTTAATAAATTTTTTATTCTGTTCAGCACAAAAGAAGTGAATTGTTATGTTTTGCGTATTCTTCATTGAATCTATTGTTTCTCAACTTCGTTCCCTTCTTCTTCTTAGAATCCTTAAATGTACTTTTTCTATCTGTGTATAAATTTATTTCAGAATTGGTGTCAGTCGTCCAGTGAGCAAAGATTATTACGCACTAATGATCTGTTTATAGCTCAACTTACCATTAAAAATCCCATTTCATCTCATCAGGGTAAGTTGTCATACTTATTATGTTACATATTCTGATTTCAGTTAATTAAAACTATTTGTGACAATTCATTTACATGCCATATAATTGTACTTAGTTATTAAAATCAGTGATGGCCAGGTGAACACCACACAAAGCCTATTTCAACCTAGTTAATTTTTATTATCCTATCGGTATAAACAGTTGGTGGTTGTTTTCATATTTACCAACTCTTCATAATACCAGTCTCAGAATTTCACTCCACAGACTTGGTTCTTAGAATGTCATTTAATACATTCCGCATTACGATAGATGCTTAGAAAGCGAGTAGCCTGTACAAGTGAGGACAGATAGTGATATTAATGATAGAAAAGTTATTTCACCAGCTAATCAGAGCCCAAGGTGCTAACTGTTAGATTACTACGTAGTGGCGGAATTTTCTACCATGCTGTTTAAGAAATGTGAATGTGGTTATTTCCGTCCGTTATAGAGTCAAAGATATTCTCCTAAAAGACTGCAAAGCAAAGTAAACCAGGTGCTTGTTGCACTACAAAATTCGGTAATTGCCAAACTGGAATAACTTTTCAGGTTTATTATTTTACATAGAGTTTTGTTCACAAATCAGTTTAATTTTATGATAAAGTTCTCATCGTAAAGACATTATAAGTCAGTGGTTCAATGGCAAAATACTCGCCAGTCATGCACTTGGTTCGAGTTCGGAGTTCGAACCCCGGCCGATGCAGACCCAAACCTTGCCTAACCGGTAAATAGGGAAGGTTGGGTATAGGGACAGCAACCTTAACCCGTGAAAAGAAGCACCACTCCTAATGAAATTTCAAAGCTCAATCTTGAAGTCCCATGTTCCTCTTAGGAGGAAAAGGAATAAAATAAAAATTTCTAATGTCAATGAAACATATGAACTGTGATCAAGATTTGACCGGATACTTGCAAAATAAGTGAGCGCTGAGTGAGAAGTAGACATTTATAAAATTATATTTGTGAAATCTCAGCGAAATTGAAATGATTAATTCCAACGTTTCGTTTGGCAATCTGGTCCGAACTTCTTCAGGGAAATTAATCGAAATTAACATAACATATATAAAAGGAACAACTCTTGTTTTTAAACTTTGTCTAATTATGAGTCATGCAACAGGCATCAACATGTTTAATAAATAAAATTGTTTGTTTATATATAAAAGTACATCTCTTGTTTTAAATTGTTTGTCCTGTCATATGAATCAACAAACAGCTATCAATAGGTATAATAAACAAAACAAAACAAAAATTTTTTTATATGAACTGTGATCAAAATTTGACTTAAGACTTTCAAAATTAGTCTACTTTTGTTAAAATATATATGTATGTGCAGTATACAATGGTGTGTGTGTGGGTGAACAGGCATAAAACATTTGTTATTCTCATGTGAGCTGTGATCAAGATTTGACGGGATAGTTGCAAAATAATTGAGGTTTTTTACAAATACAATTTTATAAATTCGTTATTCTCTCCATAAGAAAACGTAGACAATCGGGAATTTGACCAAGTGTGACTAGTTGTTGATACATATCCAATTTATTTATTAGTCAGGATTTGCCATGCATCAGCTAACATCACACCCTCAGGTCTGTTCAAACTGTTGGGATTCACCAATATATGTAGGGCTTCTGCAGTCAGAAGTTCGGACCAGATTGCCGAACGAAACGTTGGAATTCATCATTTCAATTTCGCTGAGATTTTACAAATATAATTTTATAAATGTCAATGAAACATATTTAGAGCTTCTTAATAAGCACAGAGAGAGTCTTGACTACATAGCAACACTTATTTAAATATGTTACTAGTGATCACTATGAACAAGTCATTGTAATGAGACATGTTATTTTCGGTCCTTCCAAGTTGGATAGGCTCTTACCGCTTGTTGATACTTTACATGATATTTGAGTTCTGATATTAGTGAATCACGCCTGTGACGGTATAGTCTTTACTGATTAATCTTGAAGGTATTCTACATTGTGGATTGATATTACTTGAAAAAACCTTAGAATCGGAAGGTACTGAATATCTGCTTCATCCGATTACTTCATAAGTGGCTGAGCGCGTGTATCATAAACAAATCATCACTCACACAATGCATAGGATCTAGTTATCGATATTTTCCAAGTTTTTCACTTTAAACATGCTGTAGTAATTCAGACAATATCTATCAGGGAAGAGATTAGTTTACAAACTGGTCTTAGAATCTTAGTCTTCCTGTTTTCCAAAAAAGACGCATGTAGTGCTATGCAGTATTATTAGGCTTGATCTACAGTTAACTGTTAAACATTTAATAGCTTCTTGACCATCTGAAATCCGGAAGTGATGTAACCCCTTTAGGAAGAATTTTCATCACTGGATGATGCTAGTTACAAAGTTAATGAAGACACAGATACTTGTTTCCTATTTTGCATGCGTAAGCAACCATTCGGTTGCAGTACAGATAGCTCATTGAATAATTATAAAGACATATAGGAGTTGACTTAGCATTCATCGTCATAATGACGTCACTGGGAAATAGAATCCAGTTTATATTCAGCAGTAATGTAGTTACTAACCAAATCCACTGTAATGAAACTAATATTCATAAATAAAATAATAAGTTCGTGTGTTAGCCCATCGGTTCGATTTACCGACATTATGTCAGTAATGTTACAGGGTGTCAGATAGAAAGGTTAAATTTGCATAATAACAATAATAATAAGGCATTTAGAAAACAAATGTCGCTAGATGATATCATTTCATAGTTTTTCTATAATCCCTTTACAAAAAGCACGTTTTCATCAGAATAAAAAGTGTATGATGTATTTTTAAACTAAAAGCTGCATGTATGACCACAAATCTCCAGCCAGATAAAAACATGAGTAAACTCTGAAAACAAAAAAGAGTTAATTTTTAGGGATTTGATCTGTTTCATGGTTGACCATTGGGAACCAGGTAGTACAGGGTAAGTGGCTCTTCAGGAGTACGTACCCATCGTTCTACCAAGGATTGAGCCTCGGACTCTCAGGCTACAAGTCAAGCTCGTTGACCATTCAACTACTGAGACGAAATCAAATGACCCATGGATTCTAGCTTTTACCAATTCGCAATTTTAGCGCGACCATCAACCAGTGTCATGTTTGGCGAGTATTTGTCCTCACTCTCGACCGGATGGACTCCACTGGTCATGACTTCTCACTAGAACTTTAAGCAACTTCGCTGTGTAACCAGTTTGACTATTAAATCCAAGGATGGATGATATGTATACCTAAAAGAATATGATACACTTGTGCGTGTGATGAGTTTTAGGAACACATCCAGAAAATATAATGTATGTTTAACAGTTCATCAAAAACAGTGAGCAAATTTATGGTAGAACAGTGAAAGTTTTTCTATTATTTACTTGTTGTGCGTCTTAATACATTTGTTGGTTAGTTGATATCTTGAAATAAAATGAATTTATTTTATTTTGCTGACATCTTTGTTTCATTTACACAACATAATGACCTTTGTTGTGAACAAAGTATTCTATTAATGCTTACTGACTTAATGACGAATGCATTTTCTACGCTTTCACTAGTTGCATAAATTTTATCGTAGTTCACATTCAAGTAGTATTCACACGGATCATGTCAATACTGCAAAAAAGACGTTGATTTCAGTATACTTTCTCGAACTTTTCCTACCCACCTAGTTTTGCAGCTATTTCTGTGAGCAAATGTAGTTTATCGTTCCTCAGACATGCAAAATGAATGGTCTTCTTTTCCTAAAGTAGATTTTATACCTCATTACTTTATTTCACAATAGTTGAACTATATGCGTGTATCTTACCTGTGTGAAATTATTAATGAAAAGTGTGCAAACAAACAGAAATTCAAAGATTCATTGCCAAAAGATTTCTCGTTTTCATTCAAACACATTATGTATGGTACTCATTAACACTGAAAAGATCATGTGTTATAGTCTGTATGAACTAATTATCCTAATGCACTCATTTCTTCTATCATTTTAATCTTAAATCATGTTCGTAATTTACTCTTTTTAAAGTGATTAGTGAAGCATACAGAGCTTACTGACATCCTACCTTCCATTCTACTATTCTACCCAGTAGAATTATCTCTTTTCCTCGCAAAAATGACCACTTCTAATTGTAATGAACGAATTTAATAACTTTAGCTTAAATTAAAATGTAATTAGATCTGATTAACTTAGTCTACAAATAAGCAACCGATGAGTGCGATTTGCAGGAAATACTCGAAGGTTTTAATTTTGTTTATTTTTCTGAAAAGTGGACAGGTTTTAGTTTATTTTAAGTGAATCGAAGCAGCCATTGGATTACTTTCACTCGAGGTAATATGTTAACAAAATTAAATCCAGAAAATGTCCCTTGAATGATATAGACTACAAAAGTTTCTAAACTAAAAAGAAATAAACATCATTGTGCAACAAAATCTACTTTATTTCGGAGTAAAGGGAATCAGCTATTGTTTGAAAAACTCCATTGAAACAGATTTTCAGATTAGTATCCTTAGAACAATTGTAGCTAACATTTTGCCGACGCACACCCGATATCTATGGTCGGCCTGCAAAATTTGGGCTACCGATATCCAAGCTGAAAATGCCATACTTGTACTGAAAATACGATGTGGCATCAAGCTGTAATCAAAAATTAAAAATTAAAAAATAAAATAAATTGGCGAAAATTACCTCTAATATAAAAACTTGTCAAAGTAGGAGTACCTAATGATTGACTCCAGAAGTGCCTGTGATAAAGGATTGTCGACTGAAATAACTTCTTTAATAACTAGACTGAGAATACGAGGTAATTTCATCATACTAGAGTACAACCTTCGTCATCCAAGTTCATAGCAAACAGTAGACACGCTGTCTTAATAATTAGAGAAACGTAAAGTACCAGGGTCCATATTCATACAAGGACTAATAGGAATTTGGCAGCAACAAACCCTTCAGTCAGGTTTCAGTAATAAGTAATAATCCACTGTTCAAGT